CACCAAGTCAAACAACAGCACAAACTGTGCTGCATTTATAAACACCAGGCTTGGAATGACCTCACGCATCTGTACTGCTCCAAAATACACACAATGCTGTGACATAGAGCAATCTGTAGCCTAAAGCTTGCCAACTGGAGATTAAAACATAAGATATCAATATTAAACATCAGCTCCAGTTATTTCATAGTTTAATTATACAACCCTATCATATCATAATTTTATTTCCAAAATCAACATCTCCCTTTGAGAAAATATTAAGTCTATAAAACTCTAAATGCTCAAAAATATAAAAATTTTTAATGCTGACATGACACATGTGAAAAATTCCACAAGTGCTTTTATGTGATAGGTCCTGGTCAAAGCATAAGTAAGCACATTACTTTTAGGCTTTGTGTATAAGGTGTAGAGCTTGTAACAGGCTATAGTAGGTAAAGTACTTGCTCAACCATGAGGACTTGAAAGTGGATCCCTAGTACTCATGTAAAAGCCACTCATAGAGCCACGTGCCTGTGACCCCAGGGATAGGTTGAATGGAGATGGGAATCCCAGGGATTTGCTAGCTGGCATATCTATCCCAAATGTCTAGTTCCATATTTAGTGAGAGATTCAGTCTCAAAAGATGGAGTGGTTGGATAGATGGTTCAGCCATTAAGAGCACGTGTGGGTCTTGCAGAAGACCCAGGTTCAATTTCCAGCAACCACATGGCAGTTTCAGAACCAACTGTAACTCTATCTCCAGGGGATCCAATGCCCTCTTGGGGTCTTTCTGAGCACTGCATACGCGCGCGCGCACGCACACACGCGCGCACACACACACACACACACACACACACACTCCTACGAGTAGACCTATAAGTGACGAGCTTAATACAAAGGCATCAGAACACAATCCTTTGATTTGAGAACATGTCAGTGAAGCAAACACTGCATATACATAATCAAAATGTCTCCTAATGATTGAGCCATTTTTACATTTCACCATTGTTATAAAAAGGGAAATGCTAGCATTTGCCAAAAAATATACCAGTGTAAGATTAGGAAATACTTATGTGGCAATACAACTTGAAAGGAAGCAGTCAACAGTAAAGAACAAGTGCCAAGGAGACTTGGTAGAGCATGCAGCGAGCTCTGCTCAGTCTAGGGTGCTGACTCACCTCTGTTCACTCCTGCTGAGGAACAAGTCAGTGGGGAAGTCAAGCCGCAGCTTTTAAAGACACTGGACGCCCATGGAAGCACAGGAAGCACGGGGCAATTCACCGAATTCAAACCACGCTCACCAGCGCCAACATGAAACCACCAGAGAAGCTGAAGCAGTGTGCCAATTGATCAGAGGCGCCAAGGAGAAGAACCGGAAAGAGAAATGTCTGCACATAGGCCTGCCCGCACACTGAGAAGCACCACAAGAAAAACGCCTTGTGGAAATGTCAGGGAATACTATTTTGACTAGGCAGAGATGTTTATGCTGTGGAAGATTACTTTAACTCTGCAAAGGTGTACTACATTTGTTTGATGAGGTTAGGATGGGCTGCATTTGTTTCACCTTGCCTGCCTAAGGCACCTGCTTGGTCTAATCAAAAGCTCAACAGCCAATTGCCAGGCAGGAGAGGGATAGGCTGGGCTGGCAGGCAGACAGAGTAAATAGAAATCTAGGCTCCAGACAATGAGAGAAAGAGAAGAATGAGTGAGAGAGAGAGGAGGATGCCCAGTACCAGTCAGACAGACACAGAAAAGTAAGACAAACAGAAGGAAAGAAAGAAAAGGGAAAAATCCCCTAGGCAAAATGTAGATAAAGAGAAACAGGTTAATTTAAGTTAAAAGAACTAACCAGAATCGAGCATAAGCTAGGCTGAGCACTCGTAACTAACAAGTCTCTGTGTTAATGATTTGGGAGCTGCTTGGTGGTTCAAAAGAAAGCCAAGTACAATGAAGACTCCAAAATATGGGAACATTTCTAAATGAGAATCCGCAAGTGACCACTGGCTTACACATTCCTTCTGAGATCGTTACATTACCTTCATCATTAGTGAGCCAGGAGTGGGGGTTAAAATAACCATTGCAGATGCCTAAATCAACTATTTTTTTAATTCTTATTTTTAAATTTAAATTAGAAACAAGGTTGCTTCACATGTCAATCCCAGGTTCCTCTCCCTTTCCCTCCCCTCCTCCCACACCCTCCCACCAACCCCCCCAATACCCCCTCATTTCCCCAGGAAGTGAGGCCCTCCATGGGGGGTGTCCGTAGCCTGTCATTTCATCCAGGGCAGGGCCTAGACCCTCCCCCAAGAGTCCAGGGTGAGAGCACATATCTCATTATTGGATGGGCACCCAAAGTCCATTTGTATGCCAGGGATAAATACTGATCTACTACCCAAGGATCCACAGATTGCCTAGGCCTCCTCACTGACACCCACATTCAGGGAGTCTTGATCAGTCCCATGCTGGATTCCCAGCCATCAGTCTGGGATTCAAGAGCTAACCCTTGTCAGGTCAGCTGTTTCTGGGGGTTAAACCAGCCCAGTCTTAATCCCTTTGCTCATTAGTCCTCCCTCTCTGTCACTGGGTTCCTTGAGTTCAGCTCAGTGTTTAACTATTTTAATAAATTGTTTAGTAGGTTAAAAACAACATGAGTGCCTACTACAAGTCATAAATATGAAAAACACATCATTCTATCATAAACTATAAATGACATCGACATCTCATGCATTTTCAACTTTAAATATGTGACCAATTGAACCCCAGTTAAATTCTGCCACTTGGAGCCAGTTAATTTTTTTCCCCTTTGGCAGAATCATCAACCCGTGCATGATTTCCCCCTGGTAAGAAGTACAGGGTTTACAAAGAATCAAGAGTAGGGACAGAAATACATGAGAGGAGGTGAGTGGTTATGACATAAGTGTAAGACGGGATAGAAATCATGGCACATTCTAACTTATGGCAGCAAATTAGGACAAAAGACACTGGAATGATGGATAAGGAATGTTCTAGAGGGTTCATTATGATGTATTGGAAAGATTTAAAAGCAGATGATAAGTATCTGACAAGGTTATAGAAACACATAAAATAAAGTACAAAAAAAATGACAGACAGGGAAAGCATGGAAACAAATATGGAAGTCACACAAGGTGAGAAAACAGGGTTTTCTCAGACACTTTAAACTGGCAATGACCACAAAATGAAATCAAAACTGAATTTCCTAAGGCAAGTCACTCAGGCAATTTATAAATTCTGGTTAGAATCTGTAACATTTGAAGATTTCAAAGCCCCTGAGAAGGGGCCAGCAAACAGATTCTACAAGAACACTAGGGAATAACACTCTATGCTGAAAAGAGCTAGGATAAGAAGCAAAAGGGTGACTCAACTGCAGAACAGATACTACAACACCCCACCCAAAGGTTAAAAGCTCTACCTGACAGTTTCCAATATTCTGAAAAGGGACAGCAGAAATGAACCGTGAACAACACTCTATGTACGTGTCAGGGCACAGCCATTCTAACACAGTACAATGGAACTGTACATTTCTACAGTGTCTCTGGAACACAGCTTGGTAAATGACCAATACCGCAAACCCATGTGTCCTCTCGCTTCTACTAACTTACACATCTCAACTAATGCATATACCAAATGGCTTAGCATGAGTCACAGTTGTTTAACAATCACTGATTTTTATTCCATCGTTTAACAAATCCAGATGTGTGTGGCCTGTGGCTCATTTTTCCTAATATATACTGCATAAAGTTCAATGAAGGCATGCTCCATGAGCAAATTCAGATCAAATTTAAGATGTTTTCACCATTTTATTTTGGCATTTTTGAGACAGAGTCTTACTGGGTAAGCCCAGGCTATCCTCAACTTATAGTTATCTTCTGAGTTGTATTTGTAATCACTACAACTATTCCTGAGATACTTACATTCAATTAGGATGAGCTGATAAGAGGGAACTTGGCTGCAATAAACATAATCAGCTAGATCCAAGGGGTTCAATCAGCTTCCCAAAGGTCCTGGTGCCCTTTGTAGTTTTCAGAACAGGGAAGACATGCAGGATGACCAGGCCAACTTAACAGCGGCAAAGGGCACAGATTTAGTTACCTTTTCAATCTGCTTCTTTCCTGAACCACATTCCCACAATGCATTGTTTTCCCTGACTTTCTTTCTACCTGTTCGCTACCCTGACTACTTACTGGCTTCTTTGACTATGCCCTCAGCACATGGATGACTAACTAGCCCCTCCGTTCAGCCTTTCTTAAGGGAATCCTAGAGTTCTTCTCTTGGGAGGTTTGCTTCTATTTGCTTTGTTGATCCTGTCTGGAGCCTGCTCATCAACTGTTCTGCTACTCAGTTCTCACCAAGCAGAGGTGGATGGATGGCTCTAGAACAAGCCTCCTTCAGTACCAGCCACCGAATTTCTCTCTTCCAGAACTGAACTCTAAGGACTTCTTACCCACAAGAAGGGTAGCCTTAGCTGTGTGAAGCCCAGAGAGGAAGAAGAAAAATGGTGAAAAATGAAAGCAGAACTACTCTGAAATGCAGGGTGAGGCCGAAGAAGCAGGAGCATAATTCACAACAATCTCCCAGCCAACTGTCCGCCTGTATGGGACGGGAATGCTTCAGGAAGAGAAAATGAGAAGAGAACATCAGAAATGCTTCCATTTGCAACAGTTACTTTGGCTCTCGGTTCCAGGTAACAATGGTTCATAGGCTTAACATTCTGGCAGAAAAAGGGTAAGCTATGCAGTCAGTGGTTGCTAATCAACACTTAACTAGAGTCCTCATATCAAGTACAGTCTGGGAGACTCTGTGGAGTGAAATGAGCTCTGTAGGCTGCTGGGAGTTTCCAGGGTCTTGCCCTGCTCTAGTTACGCCTTTAATATCCTTATTAACAGCAAGAGGTGGTTTGGGAGGCAACAAGACAGATGCTTTCAAAAAGGAAGGGAAAACACATCACAAAAGGAGCCTGAAAAGTTCCTATCCCCCGAGAAGGCAGGTCTTACTGTACTCACCAGTAAACAACATCCAGTGGTGCAAAGTAATTTCTCGTTATCAGGTCAGCAAAGTATGCTTCCGTTTCCCGGCAGGCAGTTCCATTTCCAATCACCACTGTGCTGCAGCTTCAAGAAAGAAACAGAATGAAAACTTGAATGAGCGCAAGGCTCACTCTGAAATCAACCAGAGAAAGCATACAAGATGAACAGTGTTAGACACTGCTCTTACTCTCGAGTATATTCATGCAACCTCTCCACTACTCTAGACTAACACTGCCCTGCATTTGGGAAGGGGAGGGGGAAGAAACAGTTTACTGTCATCTTAAGAACAGACAGGCAGTGTTTTCTCGTCTATAAAGAGCCAAAGTAAACGTAAGTAAACAGGGCTCATTCCAAACCATAATAAAGACACACAACTAAATCATCCAATGTTAATTTCTGAAGTTCCTAAGTAACACAGTATCCGTTCTTCAGATGGGGGGTATCCTAAGGGAGGGAGGAGGTTGTAGGGAGGATTTCCCAGGTACCCACATCATTGCCTCTACTTGAGAGATGGCAAAGAGAGGGAAAAGCACTTCCCTACTGTCTCCACACATGAGTTCTTGAACTACTGGCTGAGCATTGTGTACAAGGTTCCTTCTTTCTCCCCAGGCATTTCTCTTAATCCCACGTTCCAAATTAGGAGCTTCAAAGGTACCTATGATGGCAGAGCCATCAAAGCACTCAACAGGGTACTTATCTCCTTACTTGAAATCCAGCAAAAGTCTCTTGATCTTCTCTGCCTCTCGGAAGCCTTGTCCACAGTGCAGATAAACCACATCAGTGTGAAGAATCTGACCTTCAAAGGAGGGTCGGAGGGCGGGTTGTAAAAAGACTCACTACTGCTCCTAGTAAGCGAGTCTCAACAGGAAATGGAACTGGCAACCTGAGGGTCTTCTTGAGAGATGTCTCAGAAGGTAAGCATGCTTGCCACCAAGCATGACACGCTTATTTGGATCCTGGGGCCCACACAGTGGAAGAAGAGAGATGACCTCTGACCTCCAAGAACAAGGGCACATGCACCCATCCACACAATTTAAAATGTAACAAAGATCATTAAAATGCAGTCTAAATCATTCATACTCACTAGATCAGGCTCTCCCTAAGGATTCAGAAAAAGCTGCTACCTTCAAAGTAAAAGAACTCCACTTCCCCACACAAAACCATTACTAGTTGGATATTATGCTAAGGCACCTACAGGAGAAATGGTTTTCAGTAATGCCTAATATGAACAGCAGTTACAGTTCACACTCAGTTACAGCTCACACTTACTGGATGGCTGCTACAGATCAGGCTCGATTATACTATTCTTTTTCTTTTAGTTGTCAATATATAAACTTGTTTATGCTGTCAATTTCTTTGAGAACTTCGGGCTTTTTCTATCTTGCATTATACATAAAGTATTTTATTTTTAAATTAAAATTTTTAGTTGACTTAAAAAGTTTCAGGGTGATCACTCAATGAACAGAGATAAATGAACTAACACAACCGGGAGTTAGTAAAAAGGTATCACAGGATAATCTTCAAGAGAGTTGAGGGTAAGAAATGAGTGATACAATCTAGCACTAAGAAGGCTGGGAGAGTGCTTCAAGCTCCAGGTCAGTTACCCTCACCAAAAATAGTTAATGAAAAGGGGGAAAAGAAATAAGTATAACAGAAAGATCAATGAAATTTAAAGTAAACTATTTGTAAGAGAAAATGCTTTTAACAGTATCAATTAAGAAAAGGAAAATACTAATATATTACAAATAAAGAAGCTGTATAACCAGAGCTACAACAGTTTCAAAAGAAATGGGACCCAGAGCAAATGAAACAGAGATTACACAGACTGAGAAAACACTTGTGCTTCAAATTCTAAGAACAACTAACTACAAACCTGAAAACTCACCTATCTACAAACCCAGAAGAATGGAGCATGGCCAAGTGGACGTTATCTTTAAAAAGAAGTGCAATCTGACATTCTCAAAACAAATCAAAATACCTAGCTGGGCCCAGAATCCCAGTACTCAGAAAGCTAAGTTGGAAGATCTCATCTGGGGCTAAGTAGTGAGTTTAAGGCTAGCCTGGGCTATGGAGTGAAGGCATGTTTCCGAAACAAAACAATAAGGAAAACATCTAAATGCTGTAAGTTATCACAGTAGTACAGTAAGGGACAAGCATCTCAGTGGTTGCAGGAAAAAAACTGATATTGTCAATTCTTCCTATATGTGGGAAAAATTAATAGCAAAACAAAAAGCAAAATCCCATGGCTGTATTTTTAACAAAGGTAACAATTCCCAAAAAAGCAAAAAGTCAAGCAGATGGGAATGACACGGCTCAGCTGGAAGACATCTCCAAGCGGCATCTGAGGCACAGAGCAGAAGGGAGCAACAGAGGGTGGGACGGCCCAAGAGAGGAGGCGTTCCCACGCTGGAGAGCACAAGAGCCAGCATGAGAAGGAGCCCACACTGGCACTGACCCAGTGCAAAGGCTGCCCAGGAACACTCAAGACTGAAAAACTCATCCAGAGCGTCAGAGTGAAAAGAAAGAGCTAGAACCCGATTGATCAAAAAAAACCGAGCAAGTCAAGCACAGGATGCAAAAGACCCAGATTAAAGACAGAAAGCAACAAAGCCCATTCCAGAAGTCCTCGGGTCCACTGTCCACCCTGCGTGACAGCTGACATTTCTAGTGACTTGGGCAAACAGAAGAGAAAGGCAGGTTTTGTTGCTGTTGTTTTCCAGGAAAGTTAGTTTCAAACACCACAAAGCCTTTCCAGACCCAGCTCACCTTCTTGATGGTACCTGAAATGTAACTTCATGTAAAACTAAGCAAAACAAAAGGACAGCAAAGTATATATCAGGAAGAAGCCGGGCAGTGGTGGCACACGCCTTTCATCCCAGCACTCGGGAGGCAGAGGCAGGCAGATCTCTGTGAGTTCGAGGCCAGGCTGGACCAACAGCCTCCAAAACAATACAGAGAAACCTTGTCTCGTAAAACCAAAAAAAAAAAAAAAAAGTATATATCAGGAAGAAAATTTAAGTGTACCATAACATGCCCACAAAACAGAACAAGATATATGAAAATGAGATTTTTTAAAAAATAATATGAGAGAAACTCTGAGTGTAATACATATCAGAATTGTAAAACCACAGGAATGAAAGAACAAGAGTTAATGTCATACGGGAGAAAAAGAAGTTCTGGATTCAGCACCGAGTGTGCCAGCACTGGACAGTGTGGAGAAGACCAGCACTGGACAGTGTAGAGAAGACCAGCACTGGCGTGCACAAGAGAAGCACTCCAGAAATGAAAACCCAGCCTATGGGACACAGAACAGATGTCCTCAGAGAAACAAGGCAAAGAGATATCAAAGACAACAAAATTAAAAGTGAAGACGCAGACCAGAAAATTATAATGTATAACTATGTACCAAATAGAAACTATAGAAAACTAAAGAATTCAAGAAAATGGATTTAACAACGAACTACAGAAAACTAAGTAAAACATTACAAAACAGAAGAAAAGGAGAACTATAATAATACACTGGCAACTGAAGTAGAATTCAGGCAGACACATATACACTGTTAAACACAGCACACAAAAACGCTGAAAATCACAGAGAAATGTTATCACCAGAAGAAAAAGGATGCATTTATTTATTTATTTTGGAAAGAGTTTCTCTGTACATCACTGGCTGTCCTGGAACTCACTCTACAGACCAGGCTGGTTTTGAACTTGACAGATCTACCTGCCTCTGCCTCTGCCTCCGCGGAGCTAAGACATTACTTTTTAAAGGGAACACTTATAAGAGACTCTAGGCTCATTACAGAGGGTAAAAAGGTATCAGTCAAAAAGAAAAAGAAAAATAGATGACGCACACCCTTAACCCCAGCACTCAGGAGGAGGCAGAAGCAGGCGGATCTCTGTGAATCCCAGGACAGCCAGCGCTGCACAGTGAAACCCTGTCTCAAATAAGAACAGGAAAAGTAACAACATGGGGCTTTTCAGGCAATATGAAGGTGTTCTCAAATGAGAACACAGAAATGCAGAAAGAACAGTCACAGGAAGGATAACTACACGGGACAGGAGAAAAATATTAACTGAATATTCACAGCTGTAAAATGTCTGATTGTAAAGAATTAAAGTTGAGAAGAGCTAAAAGTTCAAATCTGAGCACCTGGGTTATATATATGGTTCAGTCGGGAGAATGTTTGCCTATCATGCACTGGGTTTGAAGCCCGGCACCACAAATGCAAGCTATGATGGCCCATGCCTGTTGTCCCACACTCAGGAGGTACAATTTCTCCTTAGCTACCTAAAGAGGTCAAGGCTAGTCTGGGCTATATGAAAGTGTGTCTGACACGCATCTCTCTGTGAGAGCTCTGATCTAGAAGTAAGGGAAATACTCTGACTCCCACAAACCCATAAGCAGACAATTTCTACATCTCAAAATAAACATTATTTACAAGTCTCCATGAAATCTATAAAGTGAAACTTAGGGCCCCCAACCAGCTCTTGTACTTAAAGCTGAAGAACTTACTAGTAGGAGAAATGATGGCTAGTTTGCACCCATGTTTGTAACCAGGGTCTACTCCCATCAAGGTGCGACCCGGAACAGGACTTGTCAAAAGCAGCTGGCGGAGGTTCTGCCCAAACATCATCACCGATTGCTTCTCTGCGTCTGATGTCAGTTTGGCTCTTAGAAATGCAGAGGTGAGGGGAGATGAAAGAAAAAATACTTAGTTTTTTATTCAATCAAATTTTCATTCCAGAAAAAGAGCACAGTGTGTTCTGTGCAGTTAACCACAGGGAAAACACCCCATCTCTGAGTTACACTGAGTCTACTTTTGCTAACCATAGCACATGACACCACAATTTTGAAGTAAACTGTCTGAATCTTCATACCTACCTTCTCTAGCTGCTCTGTTATATATAAGTCATAAGTTAAATATGTATGTATACACATGAGAAAGAGCCTGTAAAGATTTGCAGGTCAAATGAAAGCTTATCGGATCATTTAAAATATAAACACAAGAATGACAAGGCCATAGGCTGCCTCCACCATTATTTAGTTCAATATTTTGACTTCCAGTCTCAATGTCATTGTGTATATTCCTCTCCACATCCAACTCCTTGTCATTCTCAGACATTCGACAATGCCATAGATCTTGACAGCTGGTACAGAACCATGCCTCATGGAATACTGCCTCTGTTTTATCCAGAAACTGTTAAAAGTGTCATTTTAAGACTTCACAGGCGAAAATACAAGCCTATGATAGGCTTAAAGGCAACTGGAAACCTCAAGTGCTCAATGTATCATCTTCAAATTCATAAGAATTATGCCATCACAAGTATTTCTTCTATACTGAACCAAATAAGAAATAAATGTCATTGGCCACAAGAAAACTGAATACAAAGCAATTCAAAGTGTGCTTTGTGTCTCTGTGGCGAGGGACTACATATGTCAAGATGTGCACTGCTACTGTCTGTTCTGTCTGTTTCTCTGGCTTAATTTTGTTTGTAAAGATCTTCTCTCATCTTCTCTAACATGACACTGTAATTATCTGACTTCCTAAAACCAATTTTTTTTAAAAAAATCATTATTTCTAAGTCTTCATTTTGAACCCAATTTACTGTGAAATTGCTGGTTGGTAGTCTTTTCAAGGAACCATGATTGGTTTAAGAAATACAAAGCTGAAAGGCCACGTGCCTGCCTGAAGATCCTGCATGATGGAAGAAGCCGACTACTAAACAGGAAAGGCTAAAGCAATGGGAAATGCTACGTGAGATAGGAACCTGTGCCAGGAGCAGCTCTGATGAATGAGAGCTTCACTAACAAAGGTGGGCATAGTAGATGGGTGACTGGGAGAAGATACCACACACCATGAAAATGGCTTTGAAAGTGAGTTCACGTGCTAAGAGAAAAAGAAATAACAGACTGTGGGAGCCACAGATTTTATTCCATTCCATCCTGACTTAAGGTCAGAGAGTTCAAACCTATTCATGATCCTCAAGGCCAGATAACAGGATGTTTAGCAAAGGGTGTGGTTACTGGATGCTTTGAGAATTAAGAAAGTAATTCCACTCATTTGTTTCCTGAAGCATGGTGAGGAAGTCTTTTGTCCTCCCCTTTTGCTTTGGGTATAAAAGTGCTAGGGAAAATAAAATTCGGGGCAGCTACAGTATTTACTGAGAGCTCTCCAGACTCTATCTTCTGTTTCTTTTCTCAATCCTCACTCCCCGTTTCAGGCACATTTCAACAGGTCGGCAGGATTCCAACAAAAGACATAATAACTGGAGAGATGAGATAAAACCCGATGGCACCAAGTCAGCAGGCTCTTCTGAAGAGCCTCAAGTTTACCTTGGACACAAAGACCTACAGGGAAAAATTTTAGGAGACTACTGTGAAATAACGAGATGGGATTTTTAAATGGTAGTGTGGGGCAGAGAGATGGCTCAGTAGGTGTAGTAACTGCCAAGCGGGCATGAGGGTGTGAGCTCAGGTCATCATCACCCACATAAAAAGTCAGGCATGTAGACTGAAGGCATGCACCTGCAACCATAGCTAAGAACAGGAATGAAGTATTAATAAAAACAAGACAAATTTTTTCTGAATTAAAGAAACAAAATAGTTTTCTTGAAAACAACAGGGAAGGCATCGCTGCCTTCCCTCATCAGCTGCTGTCCAGGTGAGTATTTCTAAGGAGACCCAGCTCTGGGAAATATCTGCAAACTAAGTAGGAACTGAAAGGAGCTATATTGCTCTACCATAGGCATTTCAGAAGAGGAACACGCTCTTGCTTACCTACAATGCATATCAAAATGGACCGTGCCCTATAGAATCCCACACCACACTGCTCAGTTGAAATGAAATCATTCAAAGCAAAATGTCAAAACACCAATGGATGCTAAATGAAACATGGAAAAAAAAAACATGCAAAGAAGATGTACCACATTGAAATTTTACATAAGATTATATTTCCCTTTAAAACAGAAGGCTCAATGGTTCAGATCACTTGCTCCACAATCATGGCAATTGGAGTTGGGATCCTAGGGATGTCTTGCAATGCCTTCACCCCAGCATCAAGGAGGGTGTAGACAAGAGTATTGCTAAGGCTTGCTGGCTTCCAGCCTAGCTCAGACACAAGTCCCAGGTTCGGGGAAGGACTTCCACCCCAAAGGAGCACATGCAGGTCACAGGAGACACCCACAACCTTCTTCTTGCCGCCGTACACATGCAAGTGTACCACAGCTATACACTAACACGCAGCCACACACACACAGATAAATGAATAAATAAAAGAACAGGTCCCTTAAAGCTTATGCCACAGCACAGAAACAGCAGCCTTACATCACAGAGATGACACAGAGTTCCAAACACAACAGGATGTTTAGGGGCCACCTAGACAACAAAGGTTGGAGCAAGCCAGGGTGGCAGGGAGCAACAGAAACTGAGCAGTGGGGACCCTCATCTTTATGATGTTTGTTCCCTGCTCTGGTCACTCTGAACTCAAAGACCAAGTGTACAAGGGAGGAACAGAAAACCATCAGTCCCTAGGAACTTCAGAGCTGACCACTCAGCTGCAATACCACCATTCCCAGGAAGCCTGGCTGAAGCTTCAAAAAAAGTGAGGACGCGGATGAGCTGATCTACAGCACACATGAAGGACCGCATGAAAGAAACCATGCAGTCTGGAACCTAACTACCAATACAACAGCTAGAGAAAATCAAGAAAGAAAGTGAGGTTCTGCCAGCGCCAGACTCTTCCATCTTCTCGGCTAACTCCCATGAGCCCACTGGCACAGTTCCTTAAATCACCTCCTCAGTGCTTGTCACTGCTCATCCAGACAATTCCCGCTGGGAGATGAACGTGCATAATTGCTCTCTCTCCTCAGAGCAGTAAGAGTGTCTCACTCTTCACAAGATCCTTATGCTTTCTTTGGCTCTGTTACCTCCAGAAAATGCTTCCAAGTAGCCTCTCCATTAACTTCTCAGTTTGTCTTTCCCAAGCCAAATGTCTAATCGATAAAATCATGTTTGGCTTGGTTGCCAAACTGCAACATCAGCAATGCAGAATTGGAAGGGTGTGGACACTAAGGGTTCAGGACTAGACAGTGTATCACAAGAAGAATGCTGGGAGATGTATGCATGAGAAGGAATCTAAAGATTAAAACCAAGGCTCACACTGAAGACCCGGTTTGACTACGTTCTTTGGCTTGGTTCATGCTAACAAACATTTACTCCATATTTCATGAAGACCATATTTGATGGTAAACAGTACACACACTTAAACAAGATACATACCTGAACTCTCTACAGAGGAGAGGAACAATAAGGCGTTTAAAGGAGTCATCCAGTGAATTACGTAAGATCTGCATTAACTCTGGCCGAGCGAAGCCACGTGGTCTCCACCTACAAGAAGGAAAAGCTAATGATAAAATGAAGTGACAATGAGGGACCATGAAAGGGCGCCTGGATGCGAGGAGCTGGGGAACAGGGAGAGCCTTTACCGAAACCACAGGAGGATAATCTGGGAGAGGCTGTCCTGAGGCCGTGGTGTCTGAAATGTATCATGTGGCATGTGGAGGGGAGCATTTTTTGAGGGGGAAGACTGCTGACTGCTATTTTGTTTGGAGGGTTTTTTTTTTCATTTCCTGAGACAGGATCTCTCTGTGCGTAGCACTAGAGGCCCTAGAAGTCACTATACAAATTATACCGCCTTCAAATTTGCTGTGACTGTCCTCTCCAGATATTACTAGTGAAGGCTAAACTCCTGAGACAGCTGAAAGACACCAAAACATCCTTACAGCCCTAGAGACTGAGTTTCACCCTTTCCCATTCCACTTGTGGAAGCCCTCATGTGAGGCATCTACAGATGGGGCTACAGAGAACATCAGGAATAGATAAAGATGGAGGGGATTACAGAGAACATCGGGAATAGATAAAGATGGAGGAGGCTACAGAGAACATCGGCATTAGATAAAGACGGAGGGGACTACAGAGAACATCGGGAATAGATAAAGACGGAGAGGGCTCCAGAGAGCATCTGCATTAAGACAGTCATACAGTAGACATTGCCCTGACTCCCTATCCACTGTGACAAGAGAAAGTTGCAGAAGACAGCCCCACAAAGGGCTTGAACTGTTAGCAACTTGATCTTCTAGTCCCCCACCTCTAGGACTGTGAAGAAAGTAATTTTTTGTTGCTCATGCCACTCAGTAGTGTTTAGTTGTAACAGCCTTTCCCATTGCCTTACCTCTTCCAGGAGAATGAGGAGGCTATACAGAGAACCTGGGTGAACCTTGTTCCCAGGCACTCTTTTTCTAAGTAGCAAATTTTGACTTAAACCTTACATATCTCAAACTTAACAAAAAGCCAGTGCAATTCAATGTTAGGTTCTTCCTCTAAAACCCAAGTATCTGTCCTAAATGGACCCTGCTCTCTCTTGCCCGCTTCTGGACTCTTAACTTCACCTCTTACACCGTCTGCTTTTCCATTTGTTGTGCAATACACCGGTCAGGATATTTGTGTCACTGACAGTAGGGTTCTCACCCTCTTCTTTCCCACCTCTCACATTCTCAGAAGAGAGGGATAGTGGGAATACTGTCCAAAAGCTTGGCCCAATTTAAAAGTAAGCACACGTGATAAAAAGAAAAAAAAATAAAACCCCCACAGTGAATCCTGCTGAAATACATTTAAAAAAATAAATGAAATCTTCATTATTTTAGCTCAAAACTCATAAAATCAAAGCTAGCCAATTCTACAAAGAAGGGGAGCATCTCCGACTTTGTGGCACCTTTTTTTGGAACCTTATCTGGGTACTGCTGACAACTGACCTCCTGCCAGCAGCATGTATGCACACTGTCTGACCTCCTGCCCAGGACATACCATCTGCCCAGCAGCATGTACGCTCACTGACCTCCTAACTACAGGCTCTATGTTTCCATCCACATTCAGTATTTCTGCATTTGTCCTTCAACACCCTCTTCCATAGAAGCCATTAGCAAAGTATGAATAGCTTTTTAATATAGCTAATGTATCTTATGGTAATCTCCTCTCCATAACTTAGGCTGGAAATGAAACTTCAGAGAACACACACTAAAGATCACACAATAGCAAATAACTGAATCTCTTCCAAAGGATGTTAGGTCAGCAATATATAGTTTCGTCTTCCGGTTTAAACAAATGGGCTTTTAGGCAAGACACATAATATATCATTCTTTCTACCCAAATCTCTGTCATGCCCCACAGTCCTCCCTCCATGAGAGGTGGGAAGGAAAGGATAAGAATTAGACACAGGTCCCATGTCACTTAAACCTAGAATGTTACCAATAGACTTGTATTTCCAGCATTTTTGCTTCCCAGGTTTGGGCACTACTCTGCAGGCCATGGGACCTTCGGGGAGTGGGGACTGGCTAGAGAAAGGAGGTCACTTGGGAGACTCTGAGGAAGGTACTTCCCCTGCTTCTTGCCTACTCTCTGTCCCTGGGTCTGAGGCCCTGAGACTAGCTCTTGCTCCCCCGCCATCATACGCAGTGTTTCTGCCCTGATGGACCGACAGTCCCTGATGCCTGACCCAAAATAAACCATTCTTCTCGTTAGTTGTTTCTGCCATGAGTTTTGGTCACCGTGATACAAAGAGCAGCACACTGCTTTCAAGGAGACAAGCATTGTAGCCAGGCATGGCGGTATACACTTGCTAGTCTAACACTTGGAAGCTTGGGGGCAAGAAGACTACCGGTTCAAGGACAGCCTCAGATACATAGTGAGCCCACTTGAACCACATGAGATTCTGTCTCAAGACAAAAATAGACACATATACAATGTATACCAAAAAAATACAAAAAATAACTAAAAGATGTAGAACACCTAAAAGTACAGATAAGGGCAGTACACTATATTTACTAAAAGTAAAATCTGAGACAAGTGCCCTTAACTACACACAAACGAGCTCATAATGCTAGGGCATCAAAGTGACAGCATCCAATTGGGATGATGAGGCTAAAAATATGGTAGTGACCACATCATGAAGGCTCTCACACATCAAGCAATGGAGAGTGGCTAGTTAGAAGAACATAGTTCTAGGTCGTGAGTCAACAATGCTAGAAACAGTGCTTAGACACTAGAAGGCTAACAGTGACATCTTGCTTAATGAATACATCCATTGTCTACTGTCTATAGGGATGGCTCCCTTTAAGCTCCAAAGTTTTACCACTGTTTTCCAAAATAGCTAAAAATTTGTATTACCTCTCGTCTTAAAGCCATAACCCCTGGTAGAGCTTTCAAGTCACAAGACCCTACTATAGCCTAGAGCACTCTACTCTTCTCCTGGTGAATAGCCCTGGATGTGTTTCCATTGTACCTGCTCAGAGGTCATTCAAGTGACAAGAAAGTCTCAATTCTGAGCAGCCAAGCCATTAGCCACTTAATTAGATACCTTGCAGATTCTGCAGAATGCTCAAACCCATCTGCGATGTGTCACTGCTAGCACAAGTCTAAACTGCCTTCTCTGCTCTTGGTTCCTTCTAAACAATTCTCTACTATAGTAAATGTGATCTCAAAAACTGGTCATGTTCTACGGGACAAAAGCAATTCTTGTCAAACAAAAGAAAACTGAAATAACACTGTATTCTACCTGACCTCAGTCGAATAGAACTACCTATCAATAGCAACAGAAATGACAGAGAGTACAAACTCCTGAAGACTAAACAATACACTACTGAATAACTCAATCACCAAACAAATCAACAAGGGGAAAAAAATCCTAGTACTGAATGAAAATGAAAATACAACATATCAAGACCTTCCATGTCTAGATCAAATCTATGATTAAGGAATCACGGGTCCTAGAGAGGAAACTAATGCTGTTATATTAAATGGCCACAATGTCAAACTGCCTTCTAACTACTCATGTGTTGCTTCCAGCTTTAGTCAGAGAAGCTTCTTTTTGCAGTGGAGAGTGGTGAATGACTCAGAACATGTCACAGTGCCAAGCGAAGCAACTGTGACTGCTGTAGGTGACCTCCCACCCCACCCCCACTCAAGGCTCAGAGAACATCCCAGAAAAGTGGATCGGAGATGAGTACAAGCTCAGAGATGAGGAGAGCTGCAGAATGCTGGCTCTGGACATGACATGGCTACTGCTAACATCAACTCACATCAGATGTGGCTGCCTGCACAACATCAAGCAGTCAAAATTCTAGCATGAAAGGGGAGTGGCCCCATCTTAGGAGGAGCTACGGAGGTGGATGACTATAAGGGAGAGGCAGTCGCTTTCCTTTGAGGATGTCACTGGTAAATTGTCCATATGCCAATGGATGGTCCCACATCCACGTTCAGATGCAAGGCAGGAATTTGGCTCAGAGGGTTACTAATAACAACAATAACAACAAAAGAGGCCATGAAGTTGAGAGGGAGACAGAATAGAAGACATTAGAGGGAACTGAAGGAAGACAATGATGGGTTAATATGATCAAAATACATTGTATAAACATGTGAAATTATCAACAAATAAATAAAACATATTATTTAAAAAAGAAAAGGATAATTCTACAGAAAAGCAAAAGACAGAGCACTAAAACTTTCACACTAGAGCTAAGGAGTAAACCATTTATTACCTTCTCAGATATTTTCTTCTATGCACATAAGCAGATGACTCATCACCACTGAGGTCCTATCATAAATGCTTACCACAAACCATGTTTGGATTGTTTGGGGTTTGGTCTGGGGGTGTTATTTGGTTTGGTTTGATTTTGCCTTTTGAAATAAGGCCTCATTCTACAGTCCAGGCTGGCCACAAACTCACAATCATTTGGCCTCATTCTCCTGAGAGCTAACAAACTGTCTTTTTCACCTTGCATATTTCCATCTCAACTTTAGTTCCATCTCCATGCTTTTTTTTTTTTTTTTTTTTTTTTTTACAAAATACTATTGCCTGGCTACAGCATCACTGCTTAAGCATCTTATCTACCAACACAGACTCCTGCTTTACTTGATGGCTGCCTTCATAGCATTATTTGAAAATTCAGCAAGTCGATCCTTGATGAAACTGGTTTTAAGCAAACTGGCTTCCACTGAGCTGAAGGAGACTGCTAATTCCTAGGGGACATCTGGTCTAAATTTTCAGTTAGATTCCCTGCAAGCTCTCCCAAGAGGGTTAGTAATCAGCATATACAAAATTCAGCAATGTGAGTAACTTTATGTGTTGGCATTGGCTTTCTCAACAAAATGGTAGCTATAAAGATCTGCTATAGCAATCAAATGGGCTGTTGTGAGGCTCAAACACATGAAGCAAAATTTAAACTAAAAGACAAAAAACTATACAAAAATAGCTGGCATCTTCAAAGGTTCTATTAACAGATGAAAAGTTTAATTTTAAAAATTAAGACTTTTTTAAACACACCCAATAAGTTTAATCATTATTTCAATAGCCTTAATGTACAAAGTATTTTAGATAAATCACATAATTTGTTCAATTGTACTACAATATGATATAAATTGCATTAGTGTTTCAATTTTTAGTGTTTTAAGTGTTTCAATTTTTAGCAGATAAACATATCAGACATGATATATAGGTAACATTTTTGTTATTTTGGTTTTTTTTTTTCCACAAGGAAGAACATTCAAGTGGCATAGCAAGGTACTTTATATATCACCTAATAATAAATATGGATTCTGAAGACTATATTAAGTAATGATGTCATTGTGCAAACCTCACAGAGTGCGCCTATATGAGCCTACAAGGACAGACTATTGCATGCAGACTGTGAATCTGAGGGTTTGTCATTACATTATATACTATATCAAGTATAACAAAATGGGATTTATAGATGTAAACACACAAACACAGAACAGGCACAGTAAAAGTATGGTTTAGAGATATACCTTACAGGGTGCTTGTGGAGGTCACGCACTCACATGGCACTGGCAGGTCTCTAAGTGTTTGTGGGTGAGCCAGCAGGCACCAAGTGATGGTATAGGCTACAGACATGATTCCACACTTTGAATACTGCGCTTTTTTTTTACTTCAATAAAACAGTTTGAAATATAACAAAGCTACATGAAAATGTTTCCTTTATGCTCTCATTCTACACATTTTTTCTACTTGAAAGGTTTATTTTCCCTACTAAGTATTTTGTTGCTGTTGCTAACAACTCACATATTAGCTGCGGGTTACACTGTGTCAGAACCATCAGTATTGCTGCTTCTACCTCCACATCTTGTCAGTGGAGGATCTTCAGGGCTGTAAGTCATAAGAAGCTGCCATCTGCTAGTCCACAATAACAGGGTCTCCCTAAAAGCCTTCCCAGGAGCCTGGGGCTCTCTTTGAGGGAGTGCTACCTGTTGGTGCTGGGGCTCACACTTTTAGACTTTCTGAGAAGACCATTGAGGCCTACACAAGCTTCTATGGCATCATTCACTGTGAATTTACATGGGCATTCTTTTTTATTTTCTTGCAGCTACTTTTATTCTTGGAGCTTCTTGAGTTTTGAGTTCAGTAAGCAACAGGGATTTTTTGACTCCATAATAATTACAGAACTAAAATCATACCCATGTTTTGTCAATGATCATTTTATAAAGCGCATGACCATACTGAATTAAAAGTCCTCTCCTCAGAGACAATCATCATTAATAAGTCTTAGTCCCTTTCATGGATTATTTCCTATTTAGGTATATGTCTCCAACATACTTATTTCTTTAAACATTAACTTATTAGACACACATAGAGGACAGCTTCTAAGAGTTGGTAATCTCCTACTAGGGACCAAACTCAGGCAGCAAATACTATTACCCACTGAGCAATTTCTCTGCCCCATACTTATTTTTTAATGCAAAATGGAGATAATATACATTGTTGTCACTTGTTTTTAACATAGTATATATCTTTTCATATCAATATACAATAATATCAGTATAGTATTTTGGAAAGCAAAATTGATGGGAAAACAGACCTGTTTTGTATGCACCACCTACAGAATTCATTCTTCACTCCATCAGAAATGTTGACCTTGACTGTCAGTATCTTCAGGTTCTCTCCACGGTTAATGGCTAGAATCTAACACAAACATATGGCAAAGACCGATGATCAATGAAACGATGGTAAACTTTGCCAGTCTATATTTATAAAACAAATCAACCGCCCATCTAGCCAAGAACAGTATTGCTTTTATTTTTTTATTTACAAAAGAATGTATTAGAAACAATTTGTACTTCCTTCAAGCAACACATCTCTCAAATAAAGAAAATCATAACAAGGGCTGGGAAATGAGTCAGCTGGAAAAGTGTTTGCCACACAAGCATGAGAACGTAAGTTAAGATCTCCCAAGCCCACATAAAGGCAGAGGACAGAGACTTGTGCCTGTAATGACAGCACCAGGGTGGCAGAAACAAGCATGATCCTGGAGCTTATTGACCATTCAGCCTAGCCAAACCGATGCGCTCCATGTTCAGTGAGAGACCTTATTGCAAAAACTAAGATGAGAGGCTGCAGAGATGCTCAGTGCTGCTGTCCGGGCGACTAGAGTTGGGTTCCCAACCCCCACATCAGCCAGCTCACAACTGCTTCTAACTCCAGCTCCAAGGGATCCTACTGCATGCATCAAGCAAGCATGTGTGGTGCACGTGCACAAACACACTCAGGCACATGCCCTAAAATCAACTGATACATTAAATTATGTCAACTGACTAAAAACAGCTCATGATCATCTCAATAGAATCAGAAACATTTGATAAAATCCAGAACCCCTTCCTGATGAGAAGACTCAACAAACTGAGAGAGTTGAGCACATTTTCTTAAACACAGAAATCAGAAATCGAGGCAGAAACGGAAGCTACAACTCTGTAGTGGGATAAGGCAGAATGACTACAGAAAATAACGGTAAGGAATAGAGACCAAAGTCAGCAGAGGAAGTGGGTCAACAGTGAGAGTAGTGACAGAAAAAAGCAAGAATGCAAGGTCTCCCGGAAGGATGCAGAGGCAGAGGTATAAATCCAAAAGCTAAGGACTAATTTGCAGAAGGAAGGAAGCAAATGCAGGTGAACGATTAACGTGGACAACAGCAGCTACAACAGTGCTGTTTTCTCAAGGTCTTTGGGCATCTGTCCATCTGTCTTCCGGGGGATTATATGCAGACATAATTACATGGAATTTAAAAAGTATGGTTCACCACCTCAGAGACTAGAAACCGTAACCAGCAGCTCCCCTTATGCACACAAGACCCTAAAAAGTTCTGAAAACACCAGATTGTTCTCCAAACTAACATTCTAAAACTACTCTGCTTTCTCAGGCTTGAGTACTGTCAAATCCAGGAGACTGTATCAATCATAAATTTAAATTCATCCACAAACTCAGGTATAAACTTTACAAATTATGTGTTTCATCACCTATAGCAGATCCAGTGCACAAAGAAGTAAAATAAGCAACGTTAGACAAAAAGGAACAGGAGCTGGAGAGATGATTCAGTGGTTAAGAGCACTTGCAGAGGGCCAGAGTTTGGTTCCCAGCACCCACATGGAGGCTTACAACCATCTGTAAACACCACTTCCAGGGAATTCAGTGTCCTCTTCTGGCCTCCGTGGGCAAACAGGCATGTCATGTGGTGTGCATACATACATGAAGGTAAAACATTTATACACATAAAAATTAAAAAGCATTTAAAATAATAGTGAACTATTTCAAGTCTCTATACTCCAAAACCCATCACAATATAAATATTCAAGAAGTATTTGTGGGATATGAAGACTCTTCATGTCATGTTACAATGGGAAAAAATTGAGTTTCACGTTTGCATAACACATCTTTCTTGAAAGTTACATAGTAATAATCAAATAATTATCACACAAAAGTAAAGAATTCTAACATGTTTCATTGACCCCTCTACACAGCTGTGAAATGCAGATAGGGAAAAATACATTTTAAAATGATTATCGAGAACTTTCACTTTGGGAGAATATTGGCAGCCTCCTAATTCAAACCACCACCTTGCCTCTCAAAAGAGCCATAAAACCAATAAAAAGAACAAATGAAATAACAGGACATCTTTAGCATTCATAGGACACAGAGAATTAGACTGGCACCAGATTTCTCAAATATAACGCAGCACTCAGGTTTTGGGACAGCCGGTTCACAGCACTGTGAGTCACTAAATACCATACACATGAAGAGAACACATTTTGTACTGTGGACATTTTACTACAGGTCATTTAAAAAGAGAAACGAATTATGACTCCCCACAAAATAAAATCTATAAGAGCCTGACTCCACTTGAAATATTAGTGTCGTTAAGGCTGGCAGGAAAACACACACACACACACACACACACACACAAAACAATAGCTCAAAGCCATAAAAAAGGAATAAAGAACACTGGCTATGGAAACTAGTTATGTAAATAGAAAAACCAGTGCTATTGTAATTTTCATTTGCAACACCTCTCCTGCCACCATGCTATTTAAATTACATTCTGCATAGTGCACAGCCAATGACCACTTTTAGTAAAATATATAAATATTGAGGTAGATAAGCTGAAAAATAAAATTAGAAGGCTGAGGTATGGTGACTATGGCTTATAAAACCAAATGAGACCATATACACTGCATCCTAGATTGGGCATTGGACTGTAATTGTTTTGGGAATGATCTGTGCTCACACCTAAGCATACCGAAAGCAGGGTCTAATGGACCTCACCAGACAGAAACAAGAAACGTGGGTTATCACACTGCCAACTCTATAAACAATTTTCAGTGTCACTAACTTCTCCGGGTCTTCAGTTCTCTATTTGTGAAATCAGGAAAATGTGACAATATTTACAAGTTTTATACACACTAGTAATAAAATAGCTGACATAAAACATCTAAATTCTTAATAAAGTATTATCATTATTGCTACTATCAGAGACGGTGTTCTTAATTACCTGGTGATGGTGGATGTTTCTTATGTTGCAGGAAAAGTTCTGGTAAAGTTGAAACTTACCAACATCTTTTTCATTTACTTTTTTTGAGGATACTTTTGCAAGAGATGACTGGATACAAATGTATCTATGTTGGCACCTGATCAGATACACAAATGTTAAAAAAGTTATTTATGTGTACATTTTACAAATTTATATGAAATGAAGGAAAGAAAAAAAAATTAAACCATTACCAAATGAAATGTGGTTAATGATGCCCAAATAAGAAACTGGCACTACTACCCCATCAAAAGGACTCTGCCAGCTGGGCATCTTTAATCTCAACACAGGGGAACTCTGTGAATCAGAAGTCAGTTAAGTCTACATAGCAAGTTCCAGGACAGCTAGGGCTACACAGAGAAATCCTGTCTCAAACATATAAGCAATCATACTAACATACACCCTGAAGGTCAATTTATGCATCAACACAACATCCAAAATGTATTTGTATCTATGAACACAGAAGACTGAAATCACTGATAGGAATCAAACCAATCATCCAGGCACCCTTCTCTCATCAATCAGACAGTCATAATCAACTTAAAGAGAAAAGGAAGGGGCAAAAGGAATACCAGGACAATTTGTAAAACTGGTACACTGGGCTAAGCAGTGGTTCTCAACCTGTGGGTCTCAACCCCTTTGGGTCTGTGTATGACATATTTACATCATGATTCACAGCAGCAGCAAAACTACAGTTATGAAGTAGCATTAAATAATTTTACGGTTGGGGGTCACCACAACATGAGGAACTGTATTAAAGGGTCACAGCCTTGGGAAGGTTGAAAACCACTGGGTCAGATGTGGGCAGCACCCCATGATGGGGCATGGATCCACACAGATGGCTGAATAAAAGGGAAAAAAGAAGAAAGTCAGACAGCACCACTTTCCCTTGCCCAGGTTTCCTGGCAGTTATCATGTGACTAGCTCGGCTCCACCACACCCTCTCTACCAGGACGGCCTGAGCTCTTTGAAGCCGTGAGTCAAAGTAAAACTATCTCACCACAATGATAACAAGATGAACCAATGTAACAGGTAAATCCCAGAAACAAATTACAAGCCTAGCACACACAGCATAACTAACATGTTTACAAAGCAATGGTACCTACTCTAAAGGAACATGAATCCCTCTCAAACACACACCATGTCAAGCACTGGTTCTAATCAGAGCCTCCACTGGAGTATCTGAAAATAAAGAGACAAGAAGGCAGGGTTCCAGGGCGCCTTCCCATAGCCCAATTAAAACAACTTTAACTACTTTACATATTAGGGTTCTGTTGTTTGAACAAAGAATTCTAGTTTAAAAAAAAAAAAGCCTGAATACCAGTTTTAAATGAACACTGGGTTAACACTAACCATGGGACTTTAATAGCATGAGTCCCACAAAACAGAAAGCCACCAAAAAAAAAAAAAAATTAACTTACAAGTTCCGAATGAAGTCGAGCGTATCTTTGTCTTTAGCAATCATGTCTGCTAAAATGTGCTGTACTCCTGTTTCAATATCCTTGAGCTCGGAGAGTCCTTTAGGAGGGAAGATGGAGACCATAAACAGAAAGTATAAGATTGGCTGTAATTAAACACATCAAACTAAATTCCAGTTAATATAAAATCTTACATTAACAAACAGGACAGAAAGGCATAATGGAAGTGACTTACATCCACACCCAAAGAAAACATATCACCAGAAGCAATATGTAGGCTCTTTCCTAACACACTGATGAATACACAGCTTTGGACTCAGCTGGTTGACTTTTGGCTCTACCAATTAACAATTCTGGGACCTGGAACAGATTATTTGCCTTCTCTGCCTCAGTTCCCCGTAAATATGGAGCAATCATTATTTCCCTCATGTAGTTACAAAGATTAAATGTTGCAAGAAACATGTATTTATCAATCATATCCCAAGATATGGAATTTTATAGGTTATAAAAATTTGCCCTTTTAAGCAATGTTATTAATACTGCTATTTGAGCAAGAGGCATTTCCAGGTTGTAAGTGACCCATCTGAATTTCTCAAGTCTCACAAAGACAATGGTAGATGTTCATCTTCACAGTGAAACGCCTACAGGCAGTCGTGAAATAGCTATAAGCACTTTCCACAGAAAGGTCCGTGCGGCATCAGCTCATATGCTGACAGAAATTTGAATTGTGTTCCTTCATTTCTCTTGTCTTTATTGTTCTAGTCGCATTTCACATTGTTGATTTATATCAAGACTTAAATTACAGAAACACTGAGTGTCATGTGTATGTTTTCTGCAAACACAGTTTTCATGAGTAAAAGGTAGAAAAACCAAAGAGAACAGGAGAACAAACTTATTCTGGCATAATTAATAAAGATAAAAATAGCCATGAAGTTGTGTTATAATAATTTATGGCAACTACTGAAGTAGTACTGTAAAGAAACATGAATTGAAATGAATAAGAATTCTATTTACATATGAAAAGAATCTCTATATGAGGAAAAATTCAGTGACAAATTACTTTTATAATACGGAAACCTGTATATGTCAAGGATATAGAACAGCTATAGCACACAATATATATTCATGTGCTACTATTCTCCCCAAATGGCTCTTGAGCTAAGAAAGGTATTTATTCACTAAGCACTAAGCCCCAGAGCCCCAAGCACCTGAGAGTGTCACTGCACAGAGAAACTGCAATAGCAGGGCATAACTTGGTAGGAAAAGAGGCCTACAATGACAACCACTACTGAGAGCAGCAAAGAAAGTGCAAGCGCACATGGGAGAGCACCATTAGGAAGTCCTACCACTCAGTGAGTCTTTATAATCAAAGCAATGCTCGTCTAAGGACTGTCCTTGGGTCAAAGATGCAGACTCTTAGACCGTGGGGGCATTGCAGATGGCTCTGACAGAAGCCTTTTAAAATCACTGCTAAGGAAAGCCCCCCAGTTACCTCTCTGGAGGAGTGGTTCTCAGAGGGAGGTGGGCATTACCAGTCATTTGGACAGCCTTTTCATATTGCATGCCTGCTTGCTCTCGTCAAAGACTGGAGAAGACGCCTGCATGTTGGAAAAGTCCCACTCCTGGTTGCTCCAAGGTGAGTATTTCAGTAAAATTGACAAAAAAGGGAACGGTGAACCAGAAAATCAAATCCTAAGACCTATACAGTGACAGAAGCTGAGACATCTGGAATAACAACTGTGACTGTAAAAGAGACTGAAAAGCTGGTGTTTCTACGTACTTTATCTGTACTCAGAGCACCAGAAGAGCCAGCAGGCCCATCGGCACAGAGATTCTCAGACCCCAGCACAAAGCCCAGCAGTGGTACAGTACAGGTTTTCATTCAGATCAAGTTCTCAGTCTGTGACAAATAAGGAATATCTTCTACTGAGATACAAAACCAAACCAAAAGATCTGGTTTCTAAAAATATTTCTCTGAGGAATAATGGGAATTATTAAAATACTGCTTTAGAAAAAACACTATTAAAATTGAGAGTGATCATCTATATGTGTAGAGCATAAAGAGTGAGGGGGAATAAGGAGGCAGAAACAAAATTTCAAACAAAATTTAAAAAGCAGCATGTAGTGGTTTGAAAGAGAACCCCAGTCAGTGGCCTTGCTGGAAGAAGTGCTCACTGGGACAGGCCTTGCGTGTTTAAAGCCTCGCCCAACACTTGGTTTGCTCTGTGCTTCACCCTTGTGGTTGAAGATGTAAGCTCCCAGCTTACTGCTCCTGCAGCCATGGCTTCTGCACGGTGCCACACTTTCTTGCCGTAATGGACTCTCATCTCTGTGGAACTGTAAGCTAACATAAACTCTTTATACCAGAAGTTGCTTTTGATATGGTGTAAGTAAGTAGGAACTAATTATAATTCTTTGTATTTGAAGTTAAAATAAAGCCAAGAGAAAGTCCTGCCCTACTGTGTCTGTCAGATCCACAGTGATGATACTGGCCCTGGGTCAGCCATAAGATAAGAAGTGTCACCACCTGGTGCCAATGATAATGTATCCCACATACCACCATATGTGACAATCAAAAGGGATATGGGTCAGGATTTATGTTTACATCATAGAATAGTGCTGCTCTTAGCTCATCCTGAGATGCACCTGTGCAGTAGGCTGAAGCTCACAGAGACTCCTAACTAATCAAAGTGTTGAGAGTAAGTGACTGTGGGGTGCTTCCCCTTAAGTGGACCCTGTGTATCTACCCCACAAATGTCAGAGAACAGGAAAGGGGGCAGATAGGGAAGGGTGCTGTGAAATGAAAGGTCTGGGACAGGACATGGCCTTGGTACTTATGACCTCACTGCAGTTATGGAGATCTGCACAAGGTCAAGCCAAGAAGACCAGTCACTTTTCCAGCAAGCACCAGCAATGGACACAGTGAATTACGCAACAAAAACACAAAAAACAAAAACCAGCAACAAAGGACCAAACCAAAAGGAGGTATCATGGGGGATGAAGATGGGAGGAGCACATGTTGAGGGGATCACAGAGGAGTGAGAGGGGGAGTTAGGGTGGAAATGATCACTGTCTATATGAATGACCCTGTCAAGGAACAAAAGAATTTTTTAAAGAGAGATGGGTATCACAGGTCTGTTTGGTAGGAATGCAGTATACGTAGGAACCAAGGACACTGCTGTACCAAAGGAAACAGAAGGCAAAGAATCAGCCACAAGGAACCACAGACCGCAAATGTCTCCAGGCACACAGACTGTCCCCACCGACCACACTGAATCTCAGCACTGGGCTACTCAAGCTCGGCTGTCATTAAATAGGAAATGCTATCAACAGAAGACAGCCCCGGATCTGCAGGAAAGGCACGCACAGGGACCTGGGTCCAGACACCAGCACCCTACCCAGAAAGGAAATGGAATTAGACTTTGTAAGATGGTAATTGAATAAAACAAAGTACAGCAAATCAAAAATTAAAAAGCTAAATGTAAATAAATCATTAAAATGTAACTATAAATAAGCATTAAAAATTAAACAAATTTGGGCCTGGCGTTGGTGGCGCACACCTTTAATACCAGCACTCGGGAGGCAGCGGCAGGCGGATCTCTGTAAGTTCAAGGCCAGCCTGGTCTACAAGAGCTAGTTCCAGGACAGCCTCCAAAACAATACAGAGAAACCCTGTCTCGAAAAACCAAAAATAAATAAATAAACAAAAAATAAAATTAAACAAATTTGGATCGTGCTTATTTTAATCCATCTCTAACTTTAAATAATCCTTTACATTACTGTCCTTTCTCAAACATATTGAAATGTATGTTTCTGTGAACAGACAGTTTGTACTTTACAGACACATAGACTCAATTTTTAAAATCATAAATTCGCATCTGCTGGAATATGGCTAATACACTGTATTTCTCTAGAGTCATGTAAATGCTATGGATTTTGTTAGCACAGACTGCCCCCTGTTGACATGTACATCTCCCAGTTTAAAGAATCAACAGAAAGTCAAACAGAAACTAGAACTAGGATGGAGAAAGACAGGCTAGAGTTGTATTGGCTAAATAAGCCTGGAAATCTAACGTACGTAATGAGGATTTCACTCATTATATATAGCATGCTGTAGTTTGGCTAAGAAAATAAATTTTAGGTGCTCTTATCACAAAAAGAAGAAGTAGCTGTGTGAGACAACACACATATTAGTTTTATTTCAGGTCAGTTTTCTCTACTACAAAAACCACTTAATTCTGCATATGTCTCAAAGCACTGTATATCTCAATACAAATAATTACTTAAACATGAAAGAATCTATTTTTTGAGAAATCTATGATTTCAGCTTTAAGATGAGGCAAAAAAACTGCAAATTCAAATCCAGCCTGAATAGTAGGGCTCCAATGAACAACAATCTTTCAAATCTTTCTGTTGTGCCCTGTGGCATTCTCTCTCATACCCAAAGGCCAGAATACATTTGGAAGCCAATTTTAGAAAAAAGTCTCATTATTTAGAAACAGAAACATAAGAGCAGGCTCCAATTTGTACTTTGTATGTTTCAGAAGTGTTAAAATTCTTTTGTGAAGAGGAGATCTAAGTTACATGTTTAAAAAAAAAACAGAAATAAAACAAAATCTTTGGAAGATAATAGAAGAATCTTAATAATCTTGGGATATGGAGGGATTTCATTTAAAAGTAAAATTATCAGTTATCTTAAAATATTAATGCTAAAACCGAGACCTATTTCCCAAAGATGGCATTAAGAAGGACCAAGGGGACACGTGTCTTGAGGATATACTTGTAACTGAAGAAGAAAAGTGGCAGAGGCATGACTAGAGTGGGGAGGTCATCAGAGGCAAAAGGTCAGCCAGGCAGGACCTGTTAGACTCACCTGCGACAGTCATACAGTCATTAGTGAAAACATGTGTAATGCAAATATTTGCGTTCAAAAGCTAAGCAGCAGCAGGGCTGACATCTTGCAGGAAGCCAGTACCTTTAACATCAGGCCTGACGTAAGACAACAGGTTGAGCTGCCCTGGGCTTTCCAGCAGTGTCCGTGCTGCTCCTTCTAGGCCCAACTGCTTCGCTCTCTGGGCTTTGGTGCCTTTGCTCCCCGTTTTATACGGAGCAGACTAGGGAAAAAGGCAGAGAACATATCATAGGAGTCTGTTTTCAAAGCCAAAATTACAACGAGGCTACAGGGCTAGAGGACATGCAGAGAATGCCACAGACATCCTTCTCTCTGCTCTGCCCTCTCCTCTCAGAGATGAATTCATATTAACTAGCTAAGACTATGGGGGTGAGAGTGTCATATCATTATCTTTCTATGTGTTTAATTAGTTCTTTGTTTGGATTTACTCATTAAAACCTCCATCATCTGGATCTTGAGTTTCCTTACTCTCACCTGACTCCCAAGCCTTCTTCCTCCTGGTCCACATACCATCACCTCCTGATCTATTACTAGGCTCTCCCTAGCAGACCTGAGGCCTTTTGAATTTCCCCTATAGTTTCCCGATCATTCTTTTCTGCCTGTCCTCTAGATTCTGCCTCCTCACCTAAACTTCAAATGACTGTTTCCTAGTGGTGAACCCTGACGTGCTCAGCCAAAAACCCTTCCTAAAGTGAATTCTTCCAGGCTCATGGCTTCTCACAAAACCCTACCACAGAATCCACGGAGCACCAGCCTCGTACTGTGAATAGCAAATCCCCTATAGAAAACATAGTAGTGCTTCCATGCAGCCTATGTACTGTGAATAGCAAATCCCCTATAGAAAACGTAGTAGTGCTTCCATACAGCCTATGTACTGCTGCCTGTAAATGTAAGTCATCTCCAGACTACTCACGAGTAAGGCAATGTAAGTGCTATGTGCGCACTTGCTAGACCACATTAAAAGGCATGTGCCTGCTTACTAAGACCATGTCCTTCAGATACTCTCCACCCGTGCTTGACTAAGCACACAGACGTGAAGCCAACAACTAACCAAGGTACCAACTGAGCCAACTACAGGCTGAAAAATTCAAGTCTTGGTCTCTGGCTGCGCCATCGCCTTTGCATTCCACTCTTGTACAACCTACTCTGCTTCCTTAAGTGACTAGAGACTCCTTGAGGTCAAGAACTATTTACTACCCTACATGTAAACCCAAGTTCCTGACACACACGAAAAGGCATTCAGCAAATATGTATTGACGAAAGGATAAACCCTGATGAATTAAATAACAGAGGTCGATGGCTTTAGTTTTTTATGGCATGGTCTTCTTTAGTGATAAAAAGATGCCAAATCATAAACATTCAGGTATTACATTAAAAGATAAAGTTCCTTACCACATGTTCTAGTTCTTCAAATGTTTTACAGTTCAGCAAGGCTTTCAGCAAGCACTCAGACATCTTCCCCTCCTTCTTAATTTTCTGGATTGTACTATGAACCTTCTTTGCAACTGCCCTGAAATTAAAAACTTACATAATAAATACAACCTATATGTCCAACTTTTTTTCTCAAGGCTATCATCTCACAGTACAGAAAAGGTACAGGGAAAGTAAAAAAAAAAAAAAAAAGGTATCACAAAACTGCTTTTTCTTTGACTCAGTTAATAGTAACTTTGCCCAAGTACTTTAGTACGCATTTCCGAGAAAGAACAATGTATAAATCACAATAAAATGATCAGTATTGGGTAGTTACCTCTGATCTATCACTATGCTCTCCCTAGCAGACCTGAATGTTCCGGGCTCTCCAGGCTTCTCAAAGTCTCACACTCAGAAATGCTTCCTATCAGTTACCCTGTAGTTTCTTCAAGTCTGGGCTCCTGTGGTGTTACCTTAAGGTTAAACTCTGAGGCCTCCTGACAGGAATATCATACAAGTGAGGCTGCCCTTTCCACTACATCTCATTGAGAGACAAAAGATTTCAGTGTAGCCTATTACTAATGAGAAGATGACGTGTAGTTTCTGACATAAGCATCCTCTTTTTCCCTTTGTAACCAACACATGTTTTATGTAGGGACACTCTGAGACCATCTTATTCCTCACTAAACTTCGGATGTATTCATTGATTTATTCATGTCACTATAGACTTTGGTTTCTTATTTTTTATTTAGTGGTTATAATTCGCCATTGTGACATACCCAGCTCAGATTATTACTGGCTTGGCCAGAAGTAACTCTTTCAAGCTAACTGCTCTAGGTTTTTGACTTGTCCCTCTTACTCTCTGGGTACTTCTTTACTCTCTACCACAAGATATCCCAGCTCATCTTTTACTTTCCCTCCTGAGTGCTGAAATTGTAAGAATGTCACTTGGACAGCTGACTATTTGGACTATTAGATGTGCTCACTGCTACTGGAGCGATGCTGCTCAGGACGGGTACATCTCAACACATAAGTGATTCCTAAATACCATTCCCCCAGGTATTACACAGAGCCAGGATTCCATGGAGAAGAGCTGATTCTAGAAATCAGTGCAGATGAATCAATACACAGATGGGGCAAGGGGAAGGGTAGGCCCAGCAGTTCCTCTAATTTTCAATAATATTTTTCATTGTGAATGTGCAATTCTGCTGTATAATGTCATACTGACTGTTCTTATTTACAGAATCTGCCCAGCAGTGGTACTGGGAGCATAAAGGAGCTCAGAATCAACATATACACTAACCCAAGGCTCTTGACTTCAAGTTCCTGCTGCCTTGATTTCCCTACAGTGCCAGCCCAGGATAAAAATAAAGAAATAAATTCAAAATATTCAAAGTAGAATTTCTATTGAATGCTTATAGTTTTGACTATCACGAGGTTGAGAAATTAAATTACCCTATTGTAGGTTAAAGACTATCTATACTGGCAAAAACTCTCCATTTGGGGACTGTGGAGTGGCAAAAGGACAGTGTTATACAAGCTGTTGAAGACTTAGAATAACATTTTCAGTTTCCTATCAGCAGTCCTGATTCTGCCATTATAGCCAATCACATCAATGAAAAAAGATGCTGATCAAGTCCCATATATCCACACCTAAGCTAAACATGCAGCATCGGGATTCCATGATCTAACTAAGAAAACAGAGCTGACTTACTCTGGCAAAAGAGGACTGCACTTAGATGACAATTAATAAAAACAAAGCACTGGGATTCTCCAAACAGTAATTCCTTCTTCTCCTTTCCCCTCATGCGCTCAGAGCCTCTGTCTCCCACCTGATCCACCCCTCCCTCAGGTTTCTTACCGTAGCTCGTCTAGGGTTTGGCGAACTTCTCTCAGGGAATCAGCATCGAGGTTGTTAATGAGCTCTTTTCGATAGCGTATGATGAAGGGAATTGTGTTGTCATCATTAAAAAGGCGTATGATGTTGGCACAAACCCAAAGTTCAATATTAGTTCTCTCAGATAAAACCTGCAAAGGAAGAGAAACAGTAATTCAAAATACTAAGGCCTGTAATCCCAACACTTGAAATTCAAACTAGAAAAGTCATCCACCTCCAAATCTTTTTTTTTTTTTTTTTTTTTTTTTTGGTTTTTCGAGACAGGGTTTCTCTGTGGCTTTGGAGACTGTCCTGGAATTCACTTTGTAGACCAGGCTGGCCTCGAACTCACAGAGATCCACCTGCCTCTGCCTCCCAAGTGCTGGGATTAAAGGCGTGCGCCACCAACGCCCAGCCCACCTCCAAATCTTAAGTCTGATTCATTGTAAGAACCAGTCAATTCATCACAAAACATTTCTTTATTCTCTTCATTTCTTCCACCCCACAGTACAGTCTTGTTCTATGTCACTGAGACAGCCTTTAACCATTCTCCCCGCAGTCACTCCAGTCTCAATATTCCTAGTTCTGTAAGGAGCACGGTGAACACTCCTTTCAAAATATATACTAAGTCATGGCTTCTAACTGGTCAGAACCATCACTGCTGTCCCAAAGCACTTGAAGTCCAAACTCTACTGTTGGACGGTTAAACGGGAATTAGCAGTTTTGGAAGCTTGAGGGCAGCCCCCTCCCTCATGGTTGACTTTGGACCCACCTCCCATTTACCTGGTAATCACAACTTTCCTTCTTTAGGTATCTTGGCCAAAAAAAAAAAAAAATTCCACCTCTGGCCCTGGGAGATATGATGTTCTGATCTGCCCTAATGATTAGACCATTGCATTCTGTTGTTCCTTCCATGAGAAGCTAATCTCAGCTGGCCCTATCAATCATCATTCAGGAATCTACTCCCCAAGCCCCAGAAAAGATGATACACCTGAAAACATGTAAAGAGGTGGGGGGAATAATTATTTCCTTAATAAGATAACATACTAACCCTTCTCAAAAGCCCCACCCTGACATACTAACTTCCAGATTGTCAGTGTTGAGCATGTTTCGAGTTCTATAAAGCATTTCTTTCTATGTCTTTTTCTAGAACCTAAGCATGCTTACCCAGTTGAGGTATGTTTCCGTGACAGACTGGGCAGGCTTTCTCACTTATTCTCTGCAGGCCACCACACCCTTCAGCCATTAGCTGCTTGCCAAACTTCATTGTTGAACATGATGGTTTTCTTAGACCCTAACTAAAAACGCCTCTTAGGCCATGCTAATTCAGTGATAATCAAAACATTTAAAAAGAAAAAGAAGTCCCAGGGAGATGCTGCCAGATATTTGTTTCCACTTTGTGAAGATGTGCCTATATTTTGCCTCACATGCCTAAGGCACCTAACTGGTTTAATAAAAACCTGAATGACCAATAGATAGGCAGGAGAAGCTAGGCAGGACTTCCAGTAGAGAGAGGAACTCAGGGGATGAATCTAGGCATGAAGATTTCATCAGCCACACAGAAAGGGGTTGGTCGTACAGAATGGAGGAGAAGTGAAACGAGTTAATTTAAATTAAAAGAGCTGTTTGGGAACAAGTCTAAGCTAAGGCCAAGCTTCATAAGTAATAAGAAGTCTCCATGTCATTAATTGGGTGCTGGAGGTTCAAAGAAAGTCTGACAAGAAAGATCTGCTACACCCAGGACTGAAAAACAGCTCAGTAGAAACGTGCTTGCAGAGTCTACAATAAGGCCCTGGGTGTAATTCGCAGCATCGCAAAACAATGAAAACCAACCCTCTTCCCAAAAAGCTAACTGGGAAGGAAGCCAGGCAGCACCTGATCTCTCCTTGCTCCAGCTCAGCAGCTCAGCCAACTTGCACCTGCTACACTTGAGAGTCCAAGGGCTCTGTGGACTACAGCAGTAGTTCATAGTCTGTGGTCCTCAAGCAACAGCATAAACGTCATCTTCGACCTTGCTGAAAATGCAAATTATTAGGTCCCACCTAGAATACACTGAATCAGAGATCCTAGGGAAGCCCTGACCATCCTGTGTCTTAGACAAATGAGGTAAACTACAACAACAAAGCAGAGAGCAGCCCTGCAGGCTATGGAAAGACGCAGCAGGGAACTGCAGACTTTACTTTTAAAGCGCTTGAATCAGTCATTTATTTATGTACTTACTTATTTGTTTTCTTAACTAAAGTAGACATGCACCTATTAAGAGAGCAGCCCTGCAGGCTATGGAAAGACGCAGCAGGGAACTGCAGTCTTTACTTTTAAAGTGCTTGAATCAGTCATTTATTTATGTACTTACTTATTTGTTTTCTTAACTAAAGTAGACATGCACTTATTAAGGAAAAAGTCAGAAAGAGCTGGGGGGACGAGATACCCTAACTGCTACTTTGTGACTGCTGCTTGATGCTGACACAAGGCTTACCATGTTCTAAACGCTTACACATTCAGCATTAACTCACTTAAAGTATATGAGATAAGACTTAATATTCTCATTTTATACACAAAAAAACTTGAGCCCAAGAAGTAAATTGCCCCAAGTTCCACTAGCCATATTCCTCTTCAAAAATTCAATTTATATGCAAAGCAAAGGATTTATCAGTCAAAAGTACAAAGGACTTAAATTGTCTGCTCTTCTGAGCACTGGAGCAGGTAAGACAGAGTGCCTGTACACTGCCCTCTAGCTGTGAGAAACATCTGAAAAGATGCCTTTGTCCCAAGAACACTAAAGGGGAAAGCCCATCTCCTCAATTAAAAAAATGAACATCTGGGCATCAGCAAATCACCCAGAAACATCTGTACTTTAGAAGAGTTGACATCAAATTCAATGGCTCACTAATGAGTAAAAGTGAGAGAATTTTCCATTCAGAATCATTCCCAAGCCAGCAACTTCAACAGTTCCTTTTTGAAAAGCTGTTCACCACCTGACCCAGAGAGCTGATTATGTCACTGTGTCACAAATGCTTTTGTAAAGACGGGAGTGGGGGCACCTATATACACTGCCAGAAATCAGAAAAGAGGTTACAGGAGAAGAAGGGGGGATTGTTTACAGCCTGGAAGTAGCTTGGTCATACTTTTGAACATCCTGAGCAACCTCATATATGTATGGAATACAACAGAGTTTGTTGATGTTAAAGCCTATAATGAATACTATCAACTAGTCTATACTAATAAGAAAAAGCACTACCTTAACCTCTCCCAGAGCAAATGGGCTGCCTCTGCTTTCACCTGTAATTAATGCAGAAAATGGCAGTGAGGTTGCCGGCTCAGAGACGCTGGCTCTCTTTTGTCTCTGTCTTCACTTACATCCTCTCTTACCATCTCTTGAAACAAAGGGAAAAGAGCTAGCACAAAGGGTTTGCTTGCTTTTCTACCTAATTGAGACAATGTTACTAAGATCCACAGCTGTTCTAAGTGCCTCCGTTTACCCTCAAAAGGAAACTGTATCACAGCAGCAACTGCGGCAGTTTAACAATTCCAACATCTGACTGTGCTGGGCACTTTGTCAATTCTTATAAACACACATGTATGGATATAAGGAGCTTTCGCAAAAACAAATTTCCCATATTCACAATTTGGGAGGCAGATGAAAATGGGGAGGTTGCTTCTGTTCGAGAGAGCAGTCCTCCAACCCTGGCCAGGAAATAGAAACTATGTGTGAACTCTAACGTCTAAACACTGATCAAATGTAGGCTATGGGCTTGCCCTCCTCACACAAAGATCCTTGAAAAGCCAGTGGAGTTTCCAGAGTTAAGACACACACCTCAAGGGAAGAACAGAAGACCAAGGCAAGGTGGTGAGCAGGGCCGTGGGAAACAGCGCTCAAATGGGAGCAACAAATGACCCTGCCAAAGTGTTCAGTTAGTAATAACAGTACCTCTCCCTTCTGGACAAGGCACTATCCAGGGTTTGCCCCCCAAACTTGGATATATATTTTGTGGAAGACGGTATGCATATTAAAGACACTTCTTTCAGTCTGATCTTCACATAAATATTCAAGACACTGTCCCCTAATACACACACAGCTGACTCTGACTTGTAGTATCTGCTTTCCTCATTTCCGTAGTATTCTCAGCTACGTTTAGAAGAAGCAATACAGCAATTCCACAGACAAAACCATTTTCCATCCCATAAAGGTTTGTTTGCTTAGTTTTGTTTTGTTGTTGGTGTGGGGAGCTGAGATTTACAAAGCATAAAAAAGGAAGTCCACACAGAAAATAAGAACTAACTGGAGAATTAAAATTAGGGAAGGGTTTATTAAGTTAAATTAAAAGAAATAAACATGTAAAATCCTACTTGATTATTCAGGCAAGTTCTCTACCTGAACTATGCTCAATTGTAACAAAGCTGCCAACAGGCTGCTCAGCAGAGTAAGACAGTTCTACCACCACCCTCCAAAGCCACAGACAAGGAGCTAAGATTCCCTGAGAACAAGGGCTTAATCCCGACCAAGAAGCTATCTGCAATTGATATCCACTAACAAAGGAAAAATTCACTTTCTCCAATAGAGTCTCACTTGGTATATTAACCACATTTCAGGGTAGGCCTCATGCCCAAGAGGAGTAGGTGCCTATCAAAAAACTAACTCAATGGTATTTTTATAGACTTTCCATCCCATTTTGCTTTGGGCACCTTTTTGTTTTGTTTTGTTTTTGTTTTATTGTTCTTATGCATGTAGATTTCTGGCTTCTATTTTTGTGGTTTTGTGTTGGGGATGTGTTTCTTGTTTGTTTATTTGTTTTCTAACAAGAGTGAAAGGGCTTGGAGCTTGTGTGTGTTGGGAGGATCTGGGAGGAGCTGTGGTAAGAGAAAAGAGTGATCAGTATGTATTGTATTTAAAACGTGTTTTCAACTAATAATAAAATCACTTCCAGCCGGGCGGTGGTGGCACACGCCTTTAATCCCAGCACTCGGGAGGCAGAGGCAGGCGGATCTCTGTGAGTTCGAGGCCAGGCTGGACCAATAGCCTCCAAAACAATACAGAGAAACCCTGTCTCGTAAAAAAAAAAAAAAAATCACTTCCAATTAACAGGAGGGAAAACTGCTTAGAATGTAAAGGAAAAATGAGCATATCTATATCCTCCAAGCAGGCCAAGGCCATGAAATGTTCCTAAGACCTTAAAGAGAGCGAGCATTTTTCCAGCTGCTACTGGACTGAATAATGGTGGTATGGAGCCTAGATCACAAAGTCTACTATAAATAAATGGCAAACATTATTACCTTTCAGCAATTACAGACCTGTAAGCAAACACCTGAGATTACAACAGGGGGCGTGTGTGTGTTCACAAGAGTCCAGTCATCACCAAGATTCATAACTTTACATCCTTTACACTTATCTCTGGCCATACTGCCATAAAAGACACCTGATCTCACCTAAAGCTGAACCCTGAAGGACATCCTTTTAGCAGCCTGTTCATACCATCCTCACAGAATCCCCACCCAACACTCTAAATAAATAAATGTAAAATTAAAACAAAAAGAAGTTTCTATCCCTTGTAATCTAGAGAAAAATAGCGAGGGCGCATCTATATTCATCTCTTCTCCCATGACAAAGAAGGGAGGATACGAGAGAAAGCAGTGTCCTACTCTGAATGACTTACTATCATCTCTGGAAGCTCAGAGACTTCAGGGACTTTGAAACTCTCCTTTCTTCCTCCTGTACACTGTCAACTACCAGAGGTAGATCTACCTTGGGAAAAGCAGTAAGTTTAGCAGTGTTCAGAAAGGGCAAGGCAAGGAAAGGGGGACACGCCCATTGCCCCTACAGCTCTGGACCAAGGATGGAGTTTAAACAAAGCCTTCAGAGTGCTTCGGTGTGGGTGGCCTATGACTCGTTCTGTGAAAGCACTGCCTTATAGATTTGAATGAACAGTGCAAAGGAAGACCTTCTCAAAGACTCTGAAAGGCACGCTTCAGTAAAAAGACAGAGAGAGCTGTAAGGCAACACACTCGATTCCTCAGTGTACCAAAGATATGAAACATAATGACTAAAAACTACTGGTGACATCTACAGGTAACAGAAAAAGCAACATAGCCCAGAACATGACCCTCTGAAGAACAAAGGTGTCACACAGCCACAGTCATAGGACCCCAAAAAGTCTTGAACTCTACAGCAGCAATGTATAGAAAGGAGTCCATTTGAGATGACCTCAGGACATACAGGAGAATAGCCCTCATCTACCCGGATGTGGCCCCAGAATGTGTTGGAGCACACAAGGTTAAGGCTCACTGCTCTTGAGCCTCCTTTCTAGTTCCCTCTATCATGCCCAAAAGCAGCTAAAAAGGAAGGGTGGGGGGCAGAGAGGAAAGGCAAGGAGGCATCCTCAAATTACAATTACTAAAGAACTTGTCTTTGAAGTATTATGGGTCTTGTTCCTCATATACTGGATGCATGAACAGCCAATGACCTACCTCATCACATATACTGCTTCTACGGAGAAACACAATCCAAACTCACCACAAAAATTTAGCAATGAGCCTTCAAGGCCTCCATCTGTTGGTGTGAAATACCTATACCATGATGTGTAAGGATGTACCAGGGCAACCACCTTTCTTGACTGAGGCAGTTCTTAGCAAAAGAGCTGGTGATAAGCCAGACTGCAAACCAGTATAGCCGAGAGTAAGACAGTGGCCAAAGCTTGATTCCAGAAGTCACTGGCAAACTGAAAGAGCGAATTCAAAGCTGCCAGCACTTCCCTTAGTGAGCAGCCTGTGTGCCCGCCCAGGCCCCACAGCACACAAGTGAGTGACACAAGGCTGCACTTACCTGTACTATGTCCCAGTTCATTTCCACCTCCTCTTTAACGCTGCTGGCACCTTCAGGGAAGGTGACAGGCCTCCCCTGGGGACACGCTTCGGTCTTCATCCTCTTTAAAGGAGACTGATGGAATGTGAAGTCGTCTTCACTTTCTTCCTTCTTGCACACGTCTCCCCATGTGGTGCTTGTTGATGGCATCTCCAGGTTGCTATCCCCACACTCTGAGGGGCTGGCTTGGCTGGTTTCCTCATCAACTTTCAGCTTTTTTCTGGCCCTCTGAGCTGGGGGTTTTTGTTTTCTCGCTGCAGTTTTCAGAGTCTTAGTTGTACTCAATTTGTGATTTTTCTCTTCCAAATTGGCATTGCCAATAGCTACAGGGCTATTCTACGGAATCACAAAAAGAAAGCATGAGAATTACAAGACTGAAAACCAACTGCCCTGGAATATTGCTGAGAAGTGAAAAGGAACAAATTATCAACACATGTAACAGCAACTGCAAAGAATCACATACCTGTGTGAGTGCGTTTACATAACTTTCTCAGCAGGGCGGAGCTGAGGTGAGTAGGTGGAAGGAGGGCAGTGATGTGGATATGAGAGGGCGACGTGAAGCCCGGGGGTGGTAGCGCACGCACACCTTTAATCCCAACACTCAGGATCTGTGAGTTCAAGGCCAGCCTTGTCTACAGAACGAGTTCCAGGACAGCCAGGGCTACACAGGGAAACCCTGTCCCAGAAGATGGATGGATGGATGGATGCTAGATAAGTAGATAGATGATAGATAGATAGATAGATAGATAGATAGATAGATAGATAGATAGATAGATAGATAAGAGACAGGCGGGGGCAACATGAGGGATCCTTTCGATGGTTGTACAAACCCACATATTTAATAGAACTGTACAGTGCTAAATACAAATACCCACACAGAAATAAACACATGGAAAACCAGAGAACTGTAAATAAACGAATGATTTTACCAATGTTAATACCTTCATCGTTACATTTTAATATACCAACATAAGGCACTAAAATTTTACCACTGGGGAAAACTAGATAAAGGGTATATGTAATCCCTCCCTGTTGTTCCTTATAATTGCATGTGGATGATTTATAAATAAAGTTTAATTTCATAAAACAAGGAAGTGATATTTCTACATGTTCCAGAAAAGCAAGATTAAGTTATAACCATGGGCTGGAGTGTGAGCTTGCCTGGCATACATGCCTAGCACATGATATCCAGCATCTCATGAAAACTAGACATCGTAGTCTGTGCTTGTAATCCAAGAACTTAGGAGGTAAAGGCAAGAGAGATCGAAGTTCATGGTCACCTCAGTTGCATGCTGACCAGACTTAGAATAAATAGATTGACTTGTTTATCAGAAACTGATAAACAACATAATAAAATCAAAACCAACCATCTAGAGGGAGAATAGCATTCACATACTTGTGAAATTCAGCAGACTACACCTGCCACCTGCTCAGACAGAAAACGGGGGCTGGAAACAGAGCAGCAGCAGCCAAAGGCAGGAATTTGTCTTCTTTTGTTTAGTTTTGTTATGTTTAACATGGGGTCTCACAACTATAGCCCTGACTGCCTAGAACTCATTCCCAGACTAACTTTGAACTCAGAGTAATTCTCTTGCCTCGGCTTCCCAAGTACTAGGCTAACATCATGGTCAACATCCTTTTTCTTTGAGAGGTACTCAGGAGCAATCTGAACCACCATTGCTCCCTACCAGTGTGCCACACTACCTGACAGCCACCTGGGGTGGTAGCAATGATACAAAGAGGTACCCTTAAGGAGCTTACAGCCGCAGGATGGCTTGTCCGTCACTCAGGTGACACAGATGGCACAAACACAACTCACAAGAACATTTCACTCAAAATTAAACTTCTAACACTAAGTACCGAGAAGCACAGTAAGGACACTTCTACCCAATGCCAACCACCACACGTCCACTTGAAAATGCACAGGAGACAGCGCTTGAGCACTACAGCTACACTCAAAACATAATGGATCCAAGCAGAGACAGGAAGAGGAAATGACTGAGTCTATAAGTTGTAGGAGTTGGCATTAACTTAAGGATGTGTCTATCATAAAGGAAGCTGTCAAAGAAACAGGAGGGGAAAAAAACCTACCCCCAAAAAAAAGAAACAAAAAAAACAAGTATCAGTTTTCTTCTATCTATAATAAAGAGAAAAATCAACAAACATCCTGAGTGTTTCATTCCCAATGATAAGAGCCTGCTGTGAGATGGCTGCTTCAGACTACCTTAACTCCACAAAATTACAACCTGCAAGTGTCACTGTGAGGACCAGAGCCAAGACCACAGGAGGCAATCAATAAACCCAAATGGGCTTGTCTAATTCCCCTCCTCAGGCCATGCTCATCAAGCAAGTTTCTAACTATTTAATTCCCTCTTCAGCCTCCACGAAGGAAAGTGCTGTCTGTAAGAGTTTTGAGTGCTTTTGATGACTATTCCTAAGTATTAATTATTAAACTAGCACTCTATGTATGCACATCACTCCTGCAGGCATGGCTGATATAAAAGTACTCCTGGGAGGTATATCGGCTTTTGAACTGCTGACTTAGAAATCCAGTTGCATCACTCACTATCTGTGTTCTAGGAGTAAGTCACTTAACATCTTTGCCTCAGATTTCTTATCTACAAAATCAGGATGGCAATCACAGCTATTCCCAGTGGTGATGAGGGTCAAGCAGATCTTCAGAGCGAAATGGCGAGCACGCTGCCTGGCTAACAACATGCACAGGTATTTGCTGACATCACCATCGAAAGCAGCATTTCCACACTAGCCCACCTCCTTGAAGAGGACACTGAAAGTGGCTGAAGATACAGTTGCTAGAATGGTGAGTGTTCCTGAGACTGACAGGGGATACCACTGCCCTGAAGTGTTTGCCATTTACACCATCTGCCCTACTCTCTGTAAGGAGAAAGGATCAGCCCCTCCCCATCTGGAAAATATGGTGGCCTCCCCCACATCCAGCAGCCACCTACCAACTCCTCCTTAACGGCTACGTCTTTTGACACATCATCCACCTGTGCAGTGTTCTTCTTTGCCCGCCGCCCAGGCTTTCGGTTGGGTTCCTTGGTGGCAGGCTGCTTACGGTTTCTGGGGACCTTCTTCTGAGGTTCCCAAATACTATCTTCCTTGTCGTCTCCTTCAGATCCAGATGACCTAAAAGTAAATTGACAGGAGAACTTCCATGGAAAAAACAATGAAACCAAATGACAAAGGTCAAAAGAGGTCAATGTTTCTTAAATGATAACTGGAAGCATGTGACAGAAGATGGAGTTATATGGGCATAGGGGGTGCACAATTATTGCCAAGAACTGAACAGTGGCCGGCAACCAATGTAGACATGCCCTCTTCCTACCACCCACTGTCATAGGTCTCTCCACTCTTCCTCCCCCACATGGGGAGCACACACACACCAACATGACACAGAAGAGCAACCATTGCCTCAAGGCACTTACTGGGTCATGCCGCACCATTGTCAATGTGAGCCTTTCAATCTTAACAGTGTAAGTACTTAGGTTCCTAAATGCCAATCAAATCCATTTAGAATGTACTAAGTTATTCAAACCAATGAAAGGACCGAGAAATAGCTTTTAAAACATCCTAAACTGCATAAAAAAGCCATCACCGAGATCCTTCAACTATTTTATCAGCCCTTTTTCCTTTCACAGAATAGATCTGTGCCCTGAACAGACTGGGTCAGGTGCAGCCACACTGCTTTTCTACCAAGAATCAAACCCACATCAGGAGCAGATAAGGCCCAGCCTTCCACCCATCTGGTTCACTCTATTTCTCCTCCAAAGAGGTCAGTAGAGGTGGGAAGAATGACTTGAGATTAATCAATGAGGCTGTCTGAGTTCCTGAATGGCCTCAGCTTTGTCTGGAGGCAAAAACATCACTGGATAAATTCTGAGCTGAATTGTGTCCCAAGAAAGAAAATGATAGCAGGCTCAACCACCGACATCATCAAAGAGGTCAGTAAGCACCCTGAGACTAGGCAAAACAAAAACAAAATCACTCAAACAGTAGAGTCAAAGGGAACTATCATTGAAAACCTGTGTTCTGTCAGGTAGTCCTCTGAGTACTTGGAGGTCTGAAGGCCAGAGGATGACAAGTTCTGACCATGGGTACACACACACACACACACACACACACACACACACACACACACACACACACACAGTGGCAAATTACTGTATAAATTAAGAGCTCTATCCTAAAGCAATGTAAACAACAGCATGACCTCCTTCAGCCTGGTTCCACTGTAATATTGTGTAATATGCTCAGTTCGCTATTTTCTCTCCTGGATCACAACATGAGCTCAACAAATAGCTGTTGCATGTGTAAAGGACACGTGTCTTCAACCCAAATGACTTAAGTTTCTAAATGACAGAATCATTACTCCTTAAAATAGTCACCATTCCTGCAACAACATGCTACACCAATATGCTTACAACTCAGAGAAGAAAGAAAATTCATCTTTGGGTTCCACATTCTGGGCCTGTAGTTTTGCTCTTCTTGGCAATGAGGACATCTGGAAGAAGCAGAACATGAGGTCAGCATGGCATGGGGAGTTTTATCACTTCGTTTGACTACAAAATGGTTCTCCATTCAAAACTAACACTCCAAAAGCTTTGCTGTCAGAAATGCCACAGAGGGGAGAAAAATGTAAGGTTTATTCACAGGCCCAACACTGGCTTTCCATAGGAAGTAGCCAGCTGCTCAGAAGAAGACCCCGAGGCCTTCCACTGGTTTCAAATACCTTATGAATATGGGGCCTTTTTTTTTTAAAGACAAGATTCTGCAGGGTAAAACGTATTTTAGATTTAAATGTTTGAGTATTCTGTAAGTATCATTTTATAGTGACACTACCAGTCAACAAATTATAAAGTTATCTATTAAAGTATTTATCAAATATAAGAAATATTTTTCTCTCTTCTGTATCCCTGGTAATATTAAAGTAGAAGTGTCTTCACAAAGTTAGGAATAAAATGATGCCAATATACTGAGTAAGTAGCAAGATTATTCCTAAAACAAAACAAGCATCCTCTTGCAATATAAATGATTAACCACTATGCTACCAAAAATATTTACCATATTCAAAGGCTCAGCACATCTAAGACAAATAGCAAAAGACATCACAGAACACAATAAGTAAATAAATTTACTTAAACTGACAACATTTTTTATCCCCAAAAAATGTTTGTCAAACCATAAAAGCTAGATTGGCATGTTTAGAATCTTTGAGACAAGTCCCTGGACCCATGTGATATCGTAAGCGTCTGGTTTTAACACCACTTGTAGAGGAAGTAATACCTCAGACAAATATTACAGGGATTGTCACAAAGAGGAACATGATTTCCAGCAGTTCCATCCAGTGAGCACAGAACAGTGAGGCAGACCGTGCTAGGAAGGAAACAGAACAGGGAAAACAGCCTCCTGGCATCAGACAGGACACTCTTCCCCTCTCTTCTCTCTCTCTCTCTCTCTCTCTCTCTCTCTCTCTCTCTCTCTCTCTCTCTCTCTCTCTCTCTCTTTCTCTCTCAGGATTTCTATGGTTATGGAGATTATCCTATCTCAAGTAAGTATTTGAGGTAGCTATTATCACAAGGGAGCAGGCAAATAGGATTTCTTATGGACATTTTACCACAATAAAAATACAATGTAAAAAGCGGACTGTATGGGAATGTGGCACACCTTTCTTTAATCCTAGCACTAGGGAGGCAGAGGCAGGGCAGGCCAGCCTGATTGGTACAGAGTTTCAGGCCAGCCAGGGCTACATACTAAGATCCTTTCAACAAATAAATGAGTAAATAAATAATAAGAGGAAGCTGGTGTTTGACAAGGACATCACTTCAAACCAGGTCAGGGAAGAGCATGCATGCACTCTATAATGATAATAAGAGGAAACTGGTGTTTGACAAGGATGCCACTTCAAACCAGATGAGGGAAGAGCATGCATTTACTGTATAATGGCAGCCACTCCTCTGAAGGAAAGCAAGTATTTAACCTCCACACCCTCCTGGGGGGGGGGGCATGTTCTAACATATCAAATGACTTTAAAGTTCTACAAAAAGAAAATGTAACTCTTCAGAGTGTTGAGTAGCATGAGAAAATGCAGATGCCTCTAGGCATGTCTCACACCCCAAACCCAAAAAGATAAACAGATTTTACTACATAAAAATTAAGATCCCAAGCCAGTAATTGGGGCATTTTAGAACCAAACCAAATTAACCTTTAGAATCTCCTTTTAAAAAAAAAATAACGTTTTTAACAGTTAGGAGGGAAGGAACAAAGGAAGTAAGGACAGACAACAGAAGTGATTCCAAGGGTGTGGGGCCTGGGGCTGGGTATCTCAGTCTGACAAAAGAATCTTTCTATGTGCCCTAGTTCACAGGTTACTAGGCACCTGATCCGCAAAAAAGTCTAGAAGGTTATTTCCCAGAACAGAGTCAATGTCCTAGTTTGTTGTCTATTGCTGTGATAAACACCACGACCAAAGAAACGTGGTGTGGAAAGGATTTATTTCCTCTTACAGCTTATAGTCAGTTCATCAAGGGAAGCCAAGCAGAAACTCTAGGCAGGCGCTGGAGGCTGAGACCTCAAAGGAAGGCCGCTACTGGCTTGCTCCCAGGCTTTCATTCCGCTACCTTCCCTGTACAAGCCAAGCCCATGTGCTTAGGGATGGCATTGCCCACAGTGGGCTGCCTCTCTTCCAGAGACACACCCATAGGGCAATTAGATGGAGGTAATTACTCAACTGGGGTTCCTTCTTATCAGGTCTGTAAAACTGGGAACCAAGTTTAACCACCACAGTTAGTATATAGATTAGCCATGGGCCTTTAAAGTTTTCCCTAAACACATACGTTGAACCACCTCTTTAATAAGTATCCTAGAGCCAATGAAACATGGAAAATTAGATAAGACACAAGCATCTATTTACAAACAGGAAAGACAGATGAGAAAGGAAAATACATATGAACACAAGCAATTTCAGGCAGACCTATTTTAGAAAGTATAAGCAGAAAAAAACTAGAAAGTATTACTACATTTGCAAGCATCCCCTCAGAAATTTATACACTCCACTTTAAAGACCTGTTTCTCCACTGCCACTCCTCCCATGTCTACATAACTTGTTGGGATAACCAAATCTCAATGACTGACATTGAAGTGCAATGATTGCTTGAAGTGCAAATAGCATAACATATAACAGGGATACATTCTGAGAAACACATCATTAGGCAATTCTGTCATCTGAGCACTTTCTGTAGTTGTGTATGTCCTGTTGGCCTCCATCCCAAGCATCAATAATCAGTACAAGACTGTACCTATAGCACCTACTTATTAAAAAATCCTAATTCGGCCGGGTGGTGGTGGTGGTGGTGGCGGCAGCGCACGCCTGCCTCTGCCTCCCGAGTGCTGGGATTAAAGGCGTTTGGACTACTGCCTGACTTGGAGACCCTTTTTAGCAGCTTCCCTGAGGAAGCTAACACAAAATACCCTGTTCATGCTTAAAATGTTCAAATCTGCTAAAATTCTGACAATATTTACACACATTTTCACAATCAAGATAATGGATATACCTATATCCCCCACCAAAGAGCCACTTGGAAAGCCAACACTGAGAACCCTTTTCTCCATCTCCAATACTCAGTCTATTAGTAAATCACATGAATTCTTCCTCCAAAATATATCTTATTTCATCGGCATCTCCAGTGAGCCCCTAGTTTCTGTCTTCTATTGCTATAGCAGAGGAAGAGACTGGATAATTAATTAGGACAAAATTCCTTCTCACAATTCCAGACACTGGGAAACAGGCCTTCTTTCTGCATCATCCCAATACAGAAAGCATCACAAGGCCAAAGAAAAGAAACTTTTGGCTGAGCTTCCTCTGCCTCTGCCTTTTATCCTAGTGTCATCATGGGGCCCTACCCTTATGGCCTCGACTAATCCAAATCACCTTGCAAAGGTTCTACCTCCCTGTCTATCTGGGGGTGACAAGGGTGCTACCTCTCACCCCTTAGATCTCAGCATCCTTTCACCTAAAATGTGCTTTTATACCATTTCCCTCTTCTCTCCTGGATGCTGTAGTAACTAAAACAGCCTAAAAGTATAATAAACTCTGTTTCCTGTCTGTTCTTCTCAACTCAGTAAATTCAGGGAAAAGGGAAACGCTTACTTAAGTATCCGAGAGCCCAGAATTTAATAGTACTGATCTATAAATATTCACTGAATAAATACGTGTGCAAATATTGTCTCTATAGAGAAAAGAAACACTTTTCTATCACTCTTAGGCAGTGCCACACATTACATTCCCCGCTGCTTGGAAACGGTGGTGGCACATAAGAAAGATCCTATTCTTTTATGATTGGGAATATTCCCTCTTCTGGATTATTTTATCTCTGCGGGGGTGGGCACATTCCAAATTAGAGGCTGGTGTGATTATCACTGAGGAGGTACCATAAACTAGGGAAAGTGAAAATAGGAAGAAAAGACCACACACACACACACACACACACACACACACACACACACGCACGCACGCACGCACGCACGCGCACACACACACACACACAATTTAGAAGGGGAAACAGCATTTAAACTTCTAGAAGAGAGAACTCACTCAAGAGGAATCTAAATGTTTCCCTGAGGGAACGAAAGGAAGTGCTTCAAATGTTAGCAGACATCCTCAAGTGATTATAATAATAGTAATAATAATAATCCTGCCAGGCAGTGGTGGTACACGCCTTTAATTCTAGCACTTGTGAGGCAGAAGCAGGCGGGTCTCTGTTCGAGGTCAGCCTGGTCCACAAAGAGAGTTCCAGGACAGCCAGGGCTGCACAGAGAAACCCTGTCTCAAAAAAAAAAAAAAAAAAAAAAAATCCAACAACCAAAAACCTAGCAGGAGAGTTGCATACAGCTCACCCTGGCGATGAGAAAGCCCTGCTGCATTATGAATGAGAATCGGGAGACTCAATGGGATGATACTTTAAAGGTACTGGGCAAAGGTCCTAGAACTCGGAGCCACAAGTACCAAAACTGTTCTCGTCGCACACACAGTAAAGACAAGCTGCCGTGCGGGAAGACGGAGGAAAGTTGCCTAGCCTTCTCATTCATCCCTGTCCTCAACTGTTGGAGCGCCCCCCGTGTGCCCAGACGCTTCTGACGGCGCAAGCGATTCTGAGACGGTGCTGGCGCCCTCACCTCCGACTCTAAGGGGTTAAGACGCAAACAAACAGAAACAAAAGTTGGCCCTGGCTTTCTCGCTCACACCTGCCACGCGCCAACAGCTGCAGCAATTAAAGGACGCGCTGGGAGATTTTCCAGGTGTAGACTGTCAGACAGAGCGCTGCTGATACCTTTTTTTTAAAAGCTGATCTCTCCCAAATGAACACTTGTAACGTTAGTGGCCCTCAAACTACCGGGGCGCTGACGCAGATTCGGACCAGACCGAAGCATTACCGCCAGGGCAGACATAAAGCTCACCTTCCGGCGCGGCGAGTCAGTAGACCAGAGTTCTGTGACAGAATCTTCCGGTTCCCGCCGGAAGTTTTTCAAATGCCGGAAGTCCCGCCTTGCCTTCCCGGAGCGGACTACCGGGGCGGGGCGGGACGTGAGCCAGGCGGGCCGGAGAGGGGCGGGGCGCCCGGGAAGGAAAGGGGCATGGGCGGGGCGTGGGCGAGACTGCAACTTGAGTCTGCGGGGCATTTGGGTACGCCCCTACCCAAGGGAAGGAGTAAAGGCTTGCCTAATGTGCGCCGTCGTCTTCGCTTCTTTGCCTTCCTTTTTCTGGCCTCTCTTGGACTACTTTACGCTCTTCTCACCCACCCTTGACTTTTGCTTTTTGGGTTTGTTGGTTTTTTTTTGTTTGTTTGTTTGTTTGGTTTTATGGCAGACTCACTCTATGACCCAGTTCAATCTAGAGCTCGCCACGTTGCCCCTGAGGGCCTCGATCACGCCTCAGTCGACTTGTCTAGGCTCATTTTTTTTTTAATTGCATCATTCATTTGTAGTGAGAAACAAAAAGGAGTTAGGCTCTATTGTTACTTTAAAATGTTAAGTGACGTCCACAGGGTGTTTATAGCATATTTATTTTCTAAACTCTGAAATAAGGGGTTTTGCACCACGCTATGAAATCTCTGAATTTTTCCACCTTTGGTAAATCCTCATTCACCCCATGGGGAAACTTACTTTGTGAGAGACATTAGCTGGAGAGTCATCTGCATCTTACTCCGGTCTCAAGCATTTTGGTATACTGCCAAGTACATACACTGGGAAGCCAAGCTCTCTTAAAAACTTCCTAGAAGATTTGTATAAGTTGCCTTTTGCCTTTGGACCTGCTTCCCCAGCCCATCTCTATCCAACCTCTTAAGATAACACAGCACACTGGAAGTGATAGCCACTGGATCGTTAACTTGAGGCAAATGCAGATGTTTCCCAGAGAGTGGGAGACCCTGCCCTATTTCACATTCAGAGTCATGGAAAGCTCAGTGACTACAAGCCTGATAAACTAGCTAGGCACGTTTTCCTTTGCATTCAATATCCCTGTTTTCCTTGCTCAAAACATAAAAATAGAGCTGGTGATAGAGGTCAGGTGATCCATAAATGTACTTGCCAAGGAAGTCTCATAGCCAGCCGGGTTAGATTCCTGGAACCTATGTAAAGAAAGAACCAACAACACAAAGTTGTCCTCTAACACAAATAGCTTCTGCCCTTTTAATTAAATTAGACTTAAATAACTTTGTCCACAAGGAGGCAGATTTTGTTTTGGTTTGGGTTGGGATTTTTTGTTGTTGTTTTGTTTTGTTTTGTTTTTGTCTGTTTTGTTCACATCAAATGCCTAGGCTGTTGCATAGTTCCCATGTGAACAGAATAACAAAAGCTATATCTTAAACAACAGAAAGTGCCCATGCTGCCCTCTGGGTTAAGAACAAGCCTAACCCACTGTGATACCCTGAATTCCCCACTGTGATACCCTGAATTCTACCTTCCCCCCACCCCCAGTCATTCCAATTTAAAAGCTATAAAGAATTCTCCAGCAATTCTTCCTGCTTACCTTGAATATATCTCAAAGTCATTCCCCAGAAGAAATTACAAATGACTTGTCTTTTTCAGTGACATAATTTTTATCACACCCACTAAAGTCTTAAGCTCATATAAATAACCTAAGAAGGCGAGTTTTATGTTAGAGAATGAAACTGTTGTTAGTCTAGATTAGAATTTCATATATCAAGCAGAGCATGGCCTGGAATCCCAGCACATAAGAGGTAAGGGTAGGAGGATCATCCCCAGCTACATAGTGAGTTAGGGACCAGCCTGAGCTACAGAAGGTTCTCTCTCAAACAATAATTTCACAGGTCAGCCGGGCGGTGGTGGCACCTGCCTTTAATCCCAGCACTTGGGAGGCAGAGGCAGGCAGATCGATGTGAGTTCAAGACTAGCCTGGTCTACGAGAGCTTGTTTCAGGACAGGCTCCAAAGCTACGCAGGGAAACCCTGTCTCAAAATGATGATGATGATGATGATGATTTCATTGGTCAAAGCCCATGGATGGGTTGACAAGACAGCTCAGGGAGTAGAGGTGCCTGCCACAAAACCTAATGAACCCGACTCCACACGATAGGACACAAGAGGACCAGCCTAGTCAAGTCGCCCACTGACCTCCACACATGTGCACTCACACAGACACACAAAAATATAAAAGTAAAATGTAATTGGAAAAATGTTAAAGATGGATTTGTTTTCAAAGAGTCGAGAAAATGTCTTTCTTCTACTAATCTCTCATTACCAGGGACTCTGGTAATGAAATGCAAGGTATTGAAATGCCCCGGGAGTGGGCTTTGCTGTGGATCCATCCTCAGTGAACATATGTTTTGCTAGATAATTTTTGTGTTAGGAAGAGCACAGGGCTCTTCTTAAACAGTAAACCGAGTTGTGCTAAACCATTGGCCACCTGGGATTGCTTAGAGCATTGTTTTTTCTTCTTAACATCCAGGTTTTTTTTCTTATTTTTTTATTTTTTCGAGACAGGGTTTCTCTGTATCGTTTTGGAGGCTGTCCTGGAACTTGCTCTGCAGACCAGGCTGGCCTCAAACTCACAGAGATCCACCTGCCTCTGCCTCCCGAGTGCTGGGATTAAAGGTGTGCGCCACCAACGCCCAGCAATGTCCAGTCTTATGTTGCCTGTTGCAATTAGTTCTAGGAGCTCCAAAACTGTCTGCTGGAATCTCAGTCTGCTCCTTGGTTTACAGGCCTACAAGATTGCTAGGAAGAAAATGCAGGTGATAACTCTACAATGTACTGTTTGCTATTCAGTTCCTTTTGGGGTTGCAGTGTGCTAGACATTTCTAAGATAAGGAAGATGGTAAGAGTCCAGATCAATGACTGTTCTACAAAGTATTTCTCTTTCTTTCTTCTGTTTGTTTGTTTTTGAGACAGGGCTTCTCTGTATACACCTGGCCGTCCTGAAACTTGCTTTCTAGACCAGAACCAAGCTAGCCTTGAACTCAGAGATCCACCTGCCTCTGCCTGCTAAGTGCTGGGATTAAAGGTGTGACTCTACTAAGGATTTCTACAGGATTCATTCACTAAAGAAATTTGAAAACAATTCTAGAAACTTGACACAAGCAAAGCAAGACAGCTAGATTCATGGCTTGAATTAAGTAGGTAAAAGGCACACTACACAATGGGGAGGAGAGTGTGTGTTGACCCAGAATATTGTTAAACCTCGATCAACAACAGGATTATTTGCCTTCCTCGTGGGATATAGAAAAAAATATTCTAAACTAAAGTAATAAAACTGGTAAGGTTTTAGACATCAGACATCTGGGAAAAATAAAAGTTGGGGAAGAATCATCTAAAATAATATGTCTGGGTGGCTTACTCCAAAGGCAAGCGAGACTATCCAAAGGACATTCCCCATGGAATTTTGCAAGAGAGCCACTCCCACCACAAACTGTCAAGGGGAATTTGTAATCTCCCTTAGTAGAAGCCAGGTCCCACCATTAAAACCGTCTTCTCTTGCCCAATCTCTTGTTTACCTTTGGATGTTAAGTACTGAGTTCCAAGAAATTCATTGGTTTAGACTCACAGCCTGGGATACTTTGGACACCCACCTGAGACTACAAAATAAAGTTCTGAAGTAATTAGAACTCTGGGGGAATTTATTTGACTGTTGTTTATTTTATCATTCCAAAACATACCGCTCACTCTCCCATGGTGCTCACTGGTCTGTTACCATTTGTGTGTTATTGTCTTGTTTGTCCAATCTTTCTCTGGGGAGAACATAAAATAATATTAACAATGTACCATTATTGGATACCCGCTTTATGCCAAGAACTAATTCTTTTTGCATGTCCCTGTGTATTTAATTCACATATGAACTAAAGGAGATTTTGTAATCTCATTTTTATATATGATAAAAAGACAGACTAAAGAAAGTAAGATAATTCATCTAAGTTTACATGTTGATACTAAGCTGTAGACCCTGGATTTAAATTCATTTATCTATTTTGCTTCCTAAGAAATCCATATACCACCAACCTAAAGCAAAAACTGTTTCTGTGTCAACTCTGGTAGCCCCTGAATGTTTTGAATTTTGAGTTGCTCCATAAACACTGAACTTCTCTGGCACTAAATAAAGTCCTATCTACCCTTTGAAATACAATGAAACTGGGTTCTTTATTTGCTTAATTCTTAAGGTAGGCACAGCTGGTCCATCAACTGAATTTTAAAACTAGGCCTTGATTATTTTTAACATCTGCCCCATTTTCTATCTGTATGGTAACTAATAATGTTTGATAAATAATTCTCATTAAACTAGTAGACCAACCCCTAGACCAGAGTGAAGGAAACCTTTCCTCATACTAAAAACCTGGCTGAAACTCCTGCTGCACAGAGAGTAGGGCCATTGTTTAAAATATACTGGACTTTTGAAGATGCAAAAAATAAAAAATTGTCCCTAGAGTCAATCACTTAGTTTGACGATTGATTTTGGATATCAACTTGACTCAGTTAACAGACACCCACTATACAGAAAGGAATCATTTTTGTGTGTGCCAGTCAGCATGTTTTCCAAGGACAGTGACATTTAACTTGGTAGGCAGAAGAAGAACCTTCATATGATGTGGGTGAATACTATCCAATTGTCTGTGGGTCAGAATAGAACAAAAAGGTGAAGGAAAAAGGAATGGTCTGTTTTTTGTAGCTGGAGCATCCCTTTTCTCCTGCCTGGGATGCTATACTATATTCCAGAGTCTCCGCCCTTGGAATCCTAGGACTTACATCTGTTTGCCCACCATTTTTTTCACTTAGATTCTGAGGCCCTTGGATTTAGAGTGAGCCATGATTCCTGCTTCCCTGATTGTCTGGACTGTAGATGTACTATTTCAGGACAGTCTCTATAACTGCATAAACCAATTCCTGTAATAAATCTCCTGTCTGTCTATCTACCTACCTAATCAATATCAATAATAAAGGCTCTGTTTC